CGGAAGTGCGTTTTTTTTTTTTGCTGCGGGTGCGGGGCGCGTTTTTTTTTTTTTGCTGCGGGTGCGGGGGCGACACGCGCCAGGTCACTCACTCACCGGGGCGGCCCCCGAAAAAAACACCCACAGCAAAAAAACACCCACAACAAAAAAAAACACGGGTTCCACCCTAAACCCCCTGAATCCCCTAAACCCCGAACCCTTAAACCCTATAAACCTCAAGCTGCTTCAGCCACGGCACCTCCAGATTTTGAGAGCCCTGAATATGCTGGTCGACGCCTGTGCGAGGGAGGGCCGTGCAGACTTTGGGCTCTTCCAAAAGATTTAGGGTCAGCCCCCCTCACGTGCCATCCCTAAACTCTAAACCCTAAACCCTAAACCCTGGACTAGGCCTTCTGGCTTTTAGCCAGGTTGTGTGTGTTTCGGTTTAGGGGGGCCGGCTTACAGGTTGTAGGGTAGTGGGGTTCAGGGTTTAGGGGGGGGGGGGTTGGGAAGGTGCTTTTGCAGCAGGTGCGTTTTAGGATCTGGGGCATGAGGTTGGTCTAGGGCTTATAAGGTCAAGGGCTGGGCCAGAAAGCAGCAGGAATCTGAAGTCCCCTTTATGAAAGCGATTCGCGTGGACTCGTTTTAGGGTTTAGGGTTTAGGGTTTAGGGTTTAGGGTTTAGGGTTTAGGGTTTAGGGTTTAGGGTTTAGGGTTTAGGGTTTAGGGTTTAGGGTTTAGGGTTTAGGGTTTCGGGTTTAGGGTTTAGGGTTTAGGGTGTAGGGTGTAGGGTTTAGGGTTTAGGGTTTAGGGTTGAGGGTTTAGGGTTTAGGGTTTAGGGTTTAGGGTTTAGGGTTGTGAATCCAGGCGATCACCGGCCTGTTGCTGCTCGGCCCAGGCCGCTCTCACCACGAGAAATACCCAGGCCTCAGCCTCCGAGATGATCCGTTCACCCGCTGGCGTGGGATGTTTCCCCCCTTATACTAACAGCTCCTTACTAGGGATGGGAATAGGGTTTAGGGTTTAGGGTTTAAGGTTTAGAATACCTATGAAGGGCTGTTAGTATAAGGGGGGGGGAACCTCCCAACCGCTCTCTCCGGAGCTTCACGACGTGCTTGGAGCACGAAGATCACTGCTCCTGCAGTTGCCTTCCCTCTTTCCTACGCACCGTCTGGGAAGATCAGGAAGGGCTGCTGCGAAACGGCAGAGGTGCACTCCTTTGCAGCCTGTGGAATGTGAAGCTGCCATGGCTGGGAGAGCTGGGAGGGGTGCACTCGAGTGTCACGACTGCCATGTCGCAGAATACCTTGGCTCTCACGTCACATAGAGCTTCTCCTTATGCATACTTAGTAAGATAAAGCTCCTTGTGCAGGCTGTCCACAACAAACAGGGACCTGTTAGGGTCTTGTGCTTAGGTTTAAAGGGCAGCCCATACTCCCAGTTTTCCGCCAGGCGCACTCTCACCTCGAGTCTTTGTCTCTTTGTCGGGCCTTTGCCCGTTCAAGTTTCAAGGCTTTGTCAGATTTTGCGTTTCCCTTTTCCAGGGTTTTGAGGTTTCGGGTTTCACCACTTCCCTCTTTTTAAATATTTGAAGCTTTAGGGGTTCAGGGCGTTCAAGGTATTGTGGGATTCCTAGCTTTTGTTCAGGGGTTGCTTAGGGTTGCAGATTCTAGGGCCTATAGGGTTTAGGGTTTGAGGGTTAATTGTTGGGCTTACGGTCTGTTTAGGATTTTGGATTGTGGGTGGGCATCGGTGTGCATGGCGAAGGCGTTGGCACCGAATCCCACCCTGCTGCACCCCAGGCCCATCGGTCCCAGAGGAGTTCTAGGGAGTTCCGGAAGCAGACATTGCTAACCTCACAAGCGGCTCTGAGCAAAGCTGCACTGCAACCACCAAACACATCACAACCAGTGGCCTGGCGGTGTGTGCTGGTTGTCCCGGTGCCACCCCCTTCCTGCTCACAAACAAGCGTGCACGCTGCATAGCCCACTCATTGCTTTTTCGCGCTCTGCAGAGCATGGTTCGGAAATGCTCCGTTTGCTTCTCACATTCGATGGCGCCTGGTTCCTCATCTTTTCCGGCCTCGAAATGGAAAAGATGCACGTCCAGGATTTTGGTAAGGAATTTGAACTGGCAGACAGAAATCGAGAATAATTCCCATTGAGAGCATGACAAACCGAATTTCGCTTCCCCGTAAAACCGCTAATCACAAAATGTCGGTGCTGGAATGCTGCGAGCTGGCTCTTGCGTGAAACGGAAGAATTGGTGAAACGGACTTTGGTGCTACTGCTGGTGTGCTCGTGAACCAAGACAGAAACGCACTCTAAGGAACCAAAGCAAGCCAAACCTCTCGAAGACGAGTGCTTTGTTGTATGTGCATCTCTCACCATCAGCGCCGGCGCAGCTGCTGCGGGGCTGCGCGCTGGTGCGTCGTGGGGCGGGCGTTCGCTGCGCCAACTTTTAATGCAGACCAAGGTGCCGTAACGTAAGTGTGTCGTAACTTAAGTGTGGGTAGCGTAAGTGGTGTATTGCACGGGAGGCTCCTCGGAAAAGGAAGGAGAGCACGGGCTGTTTTGGTGGGGAGCTGCGGCTATGTGGTGGTCGTTCAGAAGTCTTCCTTCCAAGTCGGTCAGCCTTGGGTTCTGGCCGCCGCTTGGCCTTTGCGGCCTGCTGGCCACTCCATCACGTTCCCCAATGTCACACAGACTTCCAAACATCCCAGCTCGCAGGGATCGCAAGAGGCGAACCGATCTGCGCTGAGCAGCACTGTCCACCAGGTCTTGCCCCTGCATGGTGCGACTTTGCCACGACGCCTGAGGACAATCCCTATTTTGCATGTTCGCTCAAACTCCAGGCTAGCTGCCGCGGAAGTGCCTTTCCCGGGCAGCTGGTTTTGGTCGAAGGAGCTCAGCTCTGAGGTTATGATAGGCCCGATCACCTCTAGAGGGTGCATGGCATCTAGGCGGCTACCCCTTCACACTGCTTTGCAAGAGAGTGGGAGGTTGGAGGGGCACAAAACTCTCCAAATAACTTGCAAATGTTACTGTTAAAATCGGATAAAGCAATGAAATTTTGACCACAAGGTTCCGGGCTTTTTGGTTTTGGGATTTTTGAGGTTCAAGGTGTCTGGGGATTTGGACTTTTCGAGTTTAGGGTTTGGGTTTAGGGTTCAGAGTTCAGGGCGTTTCGGGTTTTGGGGCAGTGTTGCCCACAAATTGGTTACTCCAGGATGCTGTCGGGTTTCAGAGTTTGGGGTTTTCAGGAGAGTTGTCACGGTTGGGAGTTCAGGGTTTGGGTTTCCTTATGAGTAATTTTTTACAGGATGTGTTCGACTAGATGGCGTTGTTTTATTTTATATTGTGTTGACAACAACAATATGCAATGGATCATATATAGTCTAGAGTAGAAAAATAAAAGTAATATTTTTTACATATATATATGTATATATAACTTGTATATATTTTATGTACTATATGTTTATATGTTTACTATGTATATGTATATACGTATATATATATATGTATGTATGTATGTATGGATGTATGGATGTATGGATGTATGTACGTATGCTTTTTGTGGATAGATGGTGCTCTGCACGCAGATCTGGAAACATGTCTCCTGAACCTGGAAAAGCAGAGTGAGGATGCTGAGGCCGAAGTGCCGAAGACACCGCGCTCCGCGAGGCCTATGCGTAGGGGTCTATAGTCTATAAAGAAACAGCTAGGGCCTATGTATAGGGTTCCATTGCGGACTCAGAGGGCTCGGATCATAGACCCCTGTCGACACCTATGACAGGGGGGGTACTTATCAGACCCATCTTCGTGTTTCACAGCATTTGTATCCTCTGCGTTCTTACAATATATAGAACTCAAAAGTTTGTTTGCCTATGAAAAAATATAGAAAATAGAGGTTTTCCAATTGCAATACAGTATTCTACAAATGTGTAGAAACAGAGGTTTCGCTACTAAAAAAAACCCAGTGCCTTTCCCAGCAAAATACAAAGACAAAACAAAGGTTCCTACCAAAATATCGTGAAAATTCATATTTTCTTCATAAAGCACCGGAAACGTTGGTTTGCTTTCTTAAGAAGACATCGACAAAATAGAGGAATTCCCAATAAAATAAAGAGAAAATTTACATTTTCCTCTGGAAACATAGATAACCCACCCCCTCCCACCTAACAAAACAAAGAAGGATTAAAAAAAGAGCAAAAACAAGCTCCACCCATGTCAAATCGCCAACGACGACTTTCTTGCCCGTAATGCTCTCGCCTAGGTCATTGGTGCTGTGTGCATGTCGAGCCCAAGGGTCAATAGGTGCCCCAAATATGGCACGTGCGTTTTGCGGCTTGCACCATCCTGTCAATACGGCAAACAAAAAAAACACGAAAAACAAAAGGGAGCAAAAAACAAGCTCCACCCATGTCAAATCGCCACCGACGACCTTCTTGCACGTGATGCTCTCGCCTAGGTCATTGGTGCTGTGTGCATGTCGAGCCCAAGCGTCAACACCCCAAATATGGCAAGTGAAGGGGTCGCGTGTGCGTTTTGAGGCTTGCGCCGTTTTGTCAATACGGCACTTTCATGCATTTTGGGCTTTTGGAAGGGTCGGCTTTGTGCGTGTGTTCCAAGGAGATTTGTCTTTCGGGTGTTGCAATTGGTGCGCAGGCCTCAGTCCCGTGCGCATGCCGCTCGTGAAGTGCAGTGCTTTTGTGCTATTTGGGTAAACTTGTTGTGGAAAAGTGTGTGTTCTGAACGCCAACCTTGACATCCCGACTTTGTTGAGCTCCACACAATGTGTTTTTGTCACAACGGTGTCAGTATTTGCAAGGGTTTTCAAGAAGTTTTAAGAGTGCATACCATATTCAACCCAGGTTGCATCATGTTGCACTTCAAAAATGGCTTTCGGCTCAAGGCTTTCACAAGTGTTGGGGAGCTGTTGCGCAGGACGTTGGTGCGAGGTAGCCAGCGCATGTCGATGCAACATGCGGTTGAGTCATCTGTAGCCAGGCACGCCAGCGCTATGTTCCACGAGCACGACGCGCTGCGCTTCATCCCGGGACGCGAGAGTCAGCAAACTGAGCCAGACGTCGACGATGAGGATCCCTTGCTAATGTCATACCGTCGTGAGTTGGCAAAATGGGAGGGTCTGCTAAAGTCGCTTGTTTGCCATGCAGGCGCTCGAAGACGTCATCAAGAGCAGGTTCAGAAAGTTTGTGGTCGATTTCCAGTGCCGCCGCCGTCCTTCGTTTTGTTAGGACGTGTCTTGCAAACTGATTCGTGAGGTACTTCAATGATTCGAAGGGCATCGACCAGCTTTGCTGCCATGTTTGCTTTGGTACTCTTGCTTTCTGGGCTTAGTTGCGGTTCTCTCGAAGCTCTGCTTGATACCATGGTGTGACTTGAGCTGCGGTTCTGACGTTGCGCATCTATCATTCAGGTGGACATACGCGCACCAGTTCCGGGACAACGTCGAACGCGGCATACACAGGTTGGAGGCGCTATCATGGCAGCATGCAGCAACACGCAGAATGGTTTCCATCATGCTTCTTGATGGTTTTCCTTCATGTGCGGCGTCTTCGGTTTTGTGATGCGAAGACGATCGCAGACCTGCCCGGAATCAAGCATTCTGAAATCACAACATTGCACCCAGTCATTATGATTGACATTTGATTGACAAAAGCAGAAGCGACGCAGGACGAGTCACGAATGGCATGGGCGGATTCATTATAGGAAAACAGACAGTTTTACTACAGTTTTGTTTTGCGCTCTCTTGTTTAGAGAGTTGACCAGTGTGGCCGTGTGCAGGTGCTACAGCCCGAGTATTAGTCTAACAGTAGCATGACGCGCTCGGCGATGCGTGCGTCTTGCTGACTATGGGTGCCACCTGCCCAGCTTTCAGGCGGGGTTGACGCTGAGTTGAGTTGCTGTGCCATTGGTGATGTTGCCATGTTGTTTTGTTTCGTGGAGATCATTGGCTTTGGCTGCAGTCTTCGTGTGAAGCTGAGTATGAGTCTGCCTAGTGGAACCTGGGCAATGTTAAAGGTCTTCTCTCTTTTTTTGTCGTTTACAGCAGTCATCAGCAGACCTCAGGTTGAGGTGCTGCGCGGTTGCCGATGTCTCAGGGCCACAAGTCTGGAAAGCGATTGCCTAAAGTGTGATCGAGTTGCAACGAATGATCAGATTTTCGCTTGCTGGCCCAAGTGGATCTAGTGGTTAGGTTGATTTGGGTTTTGCACGTGCTGAAAAGCCATGTATGACTGCATTGGACCTTGATTGGTTGGAGGGAGGGAATGCCACAGCACACGAGAGACCGAGATTGAGAAAAAGCCCTGCGCCGACCAAATCCGCCCGAGCTCGTCAACGTCCTCGCAATGTCAATGGCCGCTTGCTGTGTAAGATTGGAAGCCCAACGGCAAGTGCAAGTCCTGCAAGTGCTGCAAGTGCTGCAAGTGCTGCAAGTGCTGCAAGTGCTGCAAGTGCGAGTGGGCCGCAGCTCTCGGAGAACGGCCTCCGACGCGTTGTTTCTCGAAAGACACTCGCAGAAGCCGTTGCTGCTGGGTCTTGGCAGGTAGCAACTTGGCGAGGTACCGGTACGATGCAATCCGTACACTACGCGGCCATGCGGTCCGCTGAAATGGGTCGGCATTTCCGGACGTGTGCATTGGCAAAAGCAGCGGAAGACCGTGCGCGAGCTGTGGAGTGGGCAAGAAGGCCACGCAGATGTGAAGACAAAGTGCGAGGGGTGCAACAGCAGACCGGGGGCAACGAGATGGAGGTGAAAGCTCCAACCTGTCCTACGTGCAACGCAGCCCTGCCCGACTGCGATTGTGTGCCATTTGTGCAGCGAAGCACAAGTGTGCCGCCGGCGGAGAGGGAGAGAACTGAGAGAAACAGCCAGGAGACATCAGTTTCGAAGCAAGCCTCGCTGCAGTTAGCAACTAGGAGAGCCTCTTTGGCCAGGCGTATATCTCTTGCTGGGCGCCGGATGTCAGCTGACATGGAGCTTGCTGTGGTCCACAAAACAACGTCAGAGCGCCGTAAAAGTGCGGACAAGCACAAGAAGGTCCCCACACTCAGCAGGCTCCAAAGGTTGGTTCAAGCTAAGCAGATGGAGTTTGAGGCATTGCCGGAAGACAAGAAGGGCAAGCTACGCAGCGCCTTTGACCGTGCCGTAGCAGATTCTTGGCTACTGGCACCATCCGATTGACGGGTGAACTTATGCATTTTTATTGTCGTATTTCGTGCTTTACTTAGATCCAGCGGGATTCCCACGATGTTTATCCATGGAGGTCGGCCAGACAGGCCTTGGACCGTCACAGCTGCGGCAAGCCTTGGGTGATCTTGGTCTGGCTGGGCGACAAAACCATGAGAAGGAGGCGCTCATCTTGATGCAACGCCCTGTCAAAAAACACATTCCGGCACAAAAACCTTGCAGTCGCTGGAAACTTGTTCAGACATTGCAGGCTGTCCAGGAAGTTGTTCGAGAGTCTATCGCAGCTGGATTGGCTACTCATCTCATCATCTCACGAAGTTCCGCTCAAGTCGTTGCAACACCTTGCACTTGAGGTTGAGTTTCTGGAGTTTGTCTTTCAGATCGTTCCCAAGGCGACAAGCTCCATGCTGGTTAATTGCCCATAGCAAGGAGATGGAGTTGCGGTATGTTTGAGTCTCATTGAGTGTCTTGACAGGTGGAGCAGAAACTCTTCGAGGCCAAGTCGCCAAAATTGCTTGGACTCTTCAACCAGCCACCTGGCACTTGATGAAATCAAGTTCCCAGATCGTACATAAAAGTGCCAGACGAAATCCAGGAACACCAGAAGGAGCCGAGTATCGCCTTCTCTCCGTACCATCAGAACCCTTACTTGAAACTTCTGCTGTTGTTGGGAGCATGCTGAACAAGATGCAAGGATGGATGTTGCCATGACTGGTAGCTTGTCCTGTGCCGACTGCATTGAAGCTTTGCGGCGACACGCTGACTCCTTCATCACCGTTCTCGATGGAGACATTATGGAGCAGCCGCTTTTATGCCAGACAGTGTCTATTGCTCCATTGCACGGAATTATCAAGCTTCGCATGCTGAAGCCAGATCGTACCTCAGGTTTTGGCCAGTCTTTCTAAAGGAGTTGGCACAGCAGCACAAGGCACATCGATCGTTTCGTTTCAGAGTTGCGCGGGATGTTGGTTCATAGTCTGTGAAGGTTTCCAAGCACAGTGACGACACCATCGACTTCACGCACTTCCAGCGATTTGCATCTGCAGCCTGTTTGTGTTCAGACTAAGCTTTAACCTGGGTTGGTTGATGTATATAGGGCCTTGGGTGCAAGGATCCTGTCTTTTCTCGCCGCATTGCTGAGTTGCAGCATTGCAGCATTGCAGCATTGCAGCATTGCAGCATTGCAGCATTGCAGCATTGCGGATGTTCTATTTCTGAAGTTTAAGGGTATTGAGAAAAGTTGCACCCACTTCGATGAGGATGTCACGAGGTGCAAAGTCTTTGCTGAACATGGCTGGTCTTGGCATGCCCTTATTGCAGCCTTTTGAACATTGTGCCAGCGTGAAACAGTCGTCCAAAAAGCGGCGGCAGTTTCGCATTTGCCGAACACACACACACACACACACACACACGTCCAGAAGCGACGACGGTGTTGCATTTGACGAAGAAGGACGTCAAGAAGCGACGGCAGTCTCGAGGACGGCGAGCGCAGCCACGCCGGTGCGTTGGCGAAATGGAAGCACGCCATGTGTGCGCCAACTCGTGCTCGCGAACGAGCTGGTCGATCTCGAGTGTGTCGGGCGAGACCTCGCCGATGCGCGCCAGAGCCGTAAACCGCGTAGGCGAGAGCGCGATGTCAGTCCAAGAAAGGCTTGGAGAAAAGCGCAGGGTCCAGAGCGCGAGCGTCGGCGGCGCGTCGCATGCAAGATTTACCGGCCCGGCTGATTTTTTTTCACGTTGGAACCCCTTAGGGTCTGGAAATCGTGTATCGATCTTTACGATGCATACACGTGGTGAATGTGTCTACGTACTTCTTGTTGCGGAGGCTTGGCAACTTGGGCTTGGCATGCCTCAGCAACAGACGGGAGGATTCACAGTGCTGCGATTGATTTGTCAGCCGTTCCAGCAGCAGTTTTGGACGTGGGATGTCATTCCAAGCACGAGGGAGGAGCTTGTGCGGGATGTGGAGATCGGTCCCGGGCAGCTAGCGTGGAGGTTTGGCATTGGTGTTTCATGCCATTCGCCTCCAGCCCAGGCTCAGTTGCTTTATGGATAGTTGCATGTGCACTTTATGTGCACTTCTCCATCTCATTGCGCGGTGGTGGGCCTGGTGGTGTTGGATCAACTCTCCTCTCTGCGAGTATTTTGTGCCGAAAACTGGAAATGCCGGACACCTGATCACGCACACAATCGTCTATGCTCTATGTAATAAATGTTTGGATCGGCAGCCTTTCACCGAACTGCGGCCGCACAGAGCAAAAACAGGACGCTGCATGGGAGCAGCCTTGCAATTCACATGCAGCAAGGACCCACAAATGGCTTGCGCACGACCTGCGACTTTATGTAGAGGACTTGAGAAGCACAGTTTTTAGAGATGCAAACATCTGAGGAGGTCGAGGTGAAGCTCTTTGCGTTCCAGGGTCAAATGGAAGAGCGAGCTGCGCGATCGGCGGGTCTTCCACCAGCGCTGGAGGCAGCTTGGCGGCAGATGTTTTCATTGACTTGCGATGTTCAGTCTGTGTTGTGCTGTGCTGTCAGTCCGCCCACTTTGGGGAAATCTCGGTTATGATGCGATACTTTCATCGCTATGTGCCTTGGCAAGAATGGCAGAATGCAGCAGAATGGCGTAAGAAGGCTTTCGAAAAAGCTCTGGCTGCTTTGTCGGTCATGTGCTTTCGCAAATAAGGAAAAGCACCAGCGTGGATTGTTGGGCACGCAGGAACTGGTGATGGCCCTCATGGACTCTGGTACATTACCTACGGTTGGAAGGCTACACACGACAACAGTGAGCAACTTCGCAACTCGAATCAACAAGCTTGCCGTCTACAGATTTTCGGAATTCCTGGAACAGGTAGACAGCTTGCGGCGAGAAGAGAGATCACAACGAGAAGCTGCCTTCAGATCATGGTACACCATTCACAAGTGGCAAGATGACAAAGCCATTGCTACAACTGATATGCCACAGCTCATCATGGACTTGTCGTTGGTGGCAGACAGTTGTCGGAGCGTGTTGGATGTGAGGGCATTGGTTGAAGACTGCCACAAGAATGGAGCCGAGTCCTTGCCACTCGGGTTTCAATGGAGGTCATTCCGACCATTCCTCATATACATCGCGAGAAGCTACGTTTTTCACACGTCTAGAGTCTAGCCCCTCAAACTGAGACTGAGAGGCAGCTGGATGCGGCAACAGAGCTCTGTGGCAAAGTGGTGGAGAGTGCTCGCGTGGCTGCACGGAGACGTGAAGCTTTAGTGGCCGAGCAGGTGAAGCTGTCGGAGGTCTCGTGCACTGTCAGCCTGCTGTGAGAAGTACATGATGACTTAAAGTTAAGGCAAGTTTACGGAAGGTTGTTTGTTTTGTAGCTCCCTGGCTATGTGCTTGCTACGTCTTGCAATGACTCCGAACGTGTCCTTTGTCCCGCTTAAAATTTCCCTTAGCCCTGACGGACTGGCAAGTTCCTTGTCGTCGGGAGGAGCAGGTCTGTGACATGCGCGGTTGCTTCGCAGAAATGACCCACAGTGGGGTTATCGGCCCGGATGATCTGCACTCCCTCTTGGTGGAACTCTTCCCGGACCACGAGATTGATGATGCGTTTGTGCAAGAACTGCTGGATCTAGCTTTACCTTCTGGGTATTTCCAATCAAGCAACAAATCCACTACATCGTCTAGTGCCCGGGCAAAGCCGACTGACAGCACCCCAAGCAAAAGCAAGACATCTCAGGCCAGCAGCTTCTTCAGCGACTTTGGGTTTTGGGGATGGTAATTGTTTTTTTTCGCGCTATTGCAGGCACAACAAGAGGATGAAGCAGCGGCTCATCGAAAAGTGTCTTGGCTTGCCTTCATTCGTCCACTGATTCTCAGCTGTTGCGACATGTGAGCGCGCGCGTTCCACTTGGGAGAACCCGTTCTTTTTGGCGAATCTGTTTCTGCTGCGGGCGCTTTGTGGGGAGCACAGATGAGTGAGCGAGCTAGCCAGCGCCCACGACATGCCACCCCGCTCTTGTAGCAAAACAACAACATCTCCCGCGCACCCGTGGCATTGAACAAAACGCAGCGCCGCACAAACAGAGACATGACATATGCTGGGTCCGTTCTGTCCCCCAAACAAGTGGAAGTGTATGGCTAAAAAAGTGACGAAGCACAAGTTTTCCTATTGCAATGTGGAGGAAAGAAAGATCATATAGAGGTTTTCCGAAGGTGTAGTGCGCATGGAGCTCTTCTTATCAACGTACAGGAATAGAGGGTTTCCTTGTCAAATATTTCTAAGATAGAGGAAGTGAAGGTTTTCATGTGACACTACATATGAAAAATGCTGTACCGAAGATGCCGACCACAACAGCAACAACAACTACTACAACTACAACTACAACTACAATTACAACAACAACAACAACAACTACTACTACTACTACTACTACTACTACTATCACTACTCTTACTACTATTACTACTAGTACTACTACTACTACTACAACTATTACTACTACTACTACTACGACTACTATTACTACTACTACTACTACTACTACTACTACTACTACTCCTGCTGCTGCTGCTACTACTACTACTACTACTACTACTATTACTACTCTCACTACTATTACTACTACTACTACTACTACTACTACTACTACTACTATTACTACTACTGCTACTACTACGACTACGACTACGATTAGGCCTAGGACTACGACTACGACTACGACTACGACTACGACTAATACTTTTACTACTACTACTACTACTACTACTACTACTACTACTCCTATCACAACCATTGCAACTGCAACTGCAGTTCCTGCAGTTACTGCAGTGCAACTACTGCACCTATTCATCTATATATATATGTATGTATGTATGTGTATGTATGTATGTATGTGTGTGTATGTATGTATGTATGTATGTATGTATGTATGTAATGTATGTATGTGTCAGTTACAAGAGCTGGCTGTTGTGAGAGATGCACAATCTGACGAAATCGAATGGGCAGATGTTGCTCAAATCGGTTTTCCATTTATCTTTAGCTGTCGTGCTCCACCATGGCGAGCTGGGCAGACTTCATTAAGTCTGTAGAAACCGTGGAGCCGACGGATGAGATAGTCACGCGAGTTGCCGCCATCTTTTCGGAGCAGCTGGCAGCCAAAGTTCCCTTGCAAGCAGAAGGACTTGCTGAAGATGCGCTGAATGCCAAGCTGGCCAATGAACCTCCAATGGTTGCGGCTTTGGCCAGACGCACGCTCCGGAACGTTGAGGTGGCTGCAGCCGCACGCCGTACGCAAGCATCACAGGGCGCGAATGTGATGGTCGGTGCTCACGCCGTTCAGAACGCAAGGGCTTTGGCATCTGCCATTGCGCCGTGCAAGCAAGCAGATGTTGCCGACCTCTTGCAGAAGCATCATCTCCAGGGATTGGGTTTCCATCTCCAAGCTGATCAGTGCTTGTTCGACAGCCTTACTGCACACACTGAAGAAGCCAAGAAACAAGGTCGAGTGCCGTTTGCCTTCGTGGACTTGACAAGCAAAGAGTGCCTTCCTCTGTGGGTCCCAAGTGATGCCGTGGGCGGAAGGTTCGCTGTCCGTGACGAAGATGAAATGGCATTGACAGGTGCCAGCCCTATTGCCAACCTGGGAGACTTGGGTCGCGCCCTAAAAGGGGCCACTGCCGTCCCGCGCTTCTTTCGTTCTGTGCAGCAGTGGAGCGCGGCGTTCTGGAGATGGGCAATTGCGGCCGTCTGCGCGGGTCATTGGAAAATGACCGAGGCTGTCGCCCACCATGACGTCATTTTGCAGCTGGCAGAGCAAGAACGGGTGAGATCTAAGCCCCCATATGTGGCCTTCCTCTACGATGAGATGTGTCGCAGACAGTGGGCACGCAGGGCAGAAAAGAAAGACCCCAATTGGAACCTCGCTGAAGAGACGCACAAGATCGACAAAGGCTTGCTAGAGCTGGTCATGCAGCGTTTGCAGCCTGTCCTGCAGCAAGCAGGAGTAGAGGTACCTTCCTCTAGCCGTGGGTCTGCGGACGCCATGGCGCAACTTGCAACAGCTGAAGCAGCTCAGCGGAGGGCAGAGCAGGCCACGAAGGCCCTGGCAGATGCTCAAAAGAAGCTCATGGATCAGTCGGCTGCTATGACGCAGGACACCAAAAGGAAGCTTGAAGACCCTGCCAAGCCGTGGTCGACTCTGACCAAGAAGCAGCAGAAGACCCAAGGCTGGTACGAAAAGACTCAAGAGCGGATTCGGCAGCAGAAACTGCGTAAGACTCAACACTGACTCGGGGACACGGCCCTGACCGGCGGGCAGCTTCCGTTGCCTGACGCCGTCGAGCAGCTTCCAACAGTGCAAGAAGCATTGGAACATGTCGATGCGATCCCATCAGCTTCCTTGTTTCTTGAAGTTTTGTCCGGCGAGTGCATCTTCACCCTTGCCGTCATGCTGACTGGTTGGGTCTGCCTGCGGCCGTGGGACATTCGCTTCGGCAGCGAGGATGATGTTCTGGCTTTTGGCGATGCTATCCTAAGGCTGGCCAGGACGGGAAAGCTGGGTTGGGTGCATCTGGCAACGCCGTGTCAAACTTTCACTTTTGCAAGGGTGCCCCAACTGCGCGAAGCTGTTTTTCCTTTAGGGAGCCCCGGAATATCCACGCGACAGCAAATGCTCGTTGATGTAGGTAATTCGCTTGCGTCCTTTTCTGTGAGTGTAGCGCAAGCACAGATTTCAGTGGGCACTTATTTCTCTATTGAAAACCCAGAGTTGTCGTGGTTGTGGGTCTTACCTTGCATACAGGGTCTGCGCTCACATGAGCACGTAGGCTTTGTGAGGTGCCTCTTCCGTGACTTTGGTGTTCCTTTCACCAAGCCCACCTTGTTCCTGCATAACAGCCCTTGCCTACACAAGCTGGGTTCTTGCCCGCTAGCTTGGGAAGGCAAAACAATTTCTTTGAGGGGGACTGTTGTGTGGGAAGGTCGGACTGTGTTTAAGACCCACTTGGCGCAAACTTACCCGCCACTCTTAGGTGTGAAATTTGCCGAATGTGTGGCGCAGTCACTCGACGAGCGGGTGGCACTCGGGCAGGCTGCTAACGTGCAACAAGGGGTAGATCTCCCAGGCGCTCTGCTTGAGGCTGAGAGACAACAGCAGGAGCTTTTGCAAAGTTCTCCAGTCCCCCATGGCCTCGGAGCCTTGCCTGGGTTATCGCCTCTTGAACATGTGGCGTTCGGGCTGCAGGTTGCTCATCCCTCCGAAAACCCGGCCCCGCTTTGCGCTGAGATGTTGGGTGCTATCCAGTTTGAGTGTGAACATTCTGTTGATGAAATTGACAATTTTCGGCAAGAAAAGCTTTTTCGAATCATACAGCTTCATGCTGTGTTGAAGGGGTTACAGGTGGATTGGGTGAAGCAGGCCCCAAGACCACTGCAGCCCCTCGTGGCGTCCATTCACGGCCCCTTGTGGAAGGCTTTGCTGGATGAGTGTGGGCTCTCGTGCCCCCTGTTTCTCCAACATCTTCAGCAGGGATTTCCCCTAGTTGGCCCTTTGCCACCGTGTGAAGATGAGAGCTCCCTTCATGACTTTCCAGAAACTGCAACTGTTGACGAGTTGCGGAACTCAAGAAGCTTCTTGAATGCAACCGTTCTGGATTCCTTGAAGGAGCTGCCTTTCTCAGACGATATCTTGCCACAGGTTCTCGCGGATGCCGAGGCGGGCTTCATGACTGCGCCAAGAGCTCTGTCTCCTTTTGACCTGGACGATAAGTCTTTTACTAGAAGGATTCCAGTCTGGCAATAATCTGGCGACGCAACCTGTTGACAAGATTAGGCACGACACGCTGGACACGTTGTCTCAAGTTGTCATGGAGTTTTTTGCGCGTGACTGCGAGGTCCGGCTTTGGAAGCGCGATGTGTCGCAGGCTTTCCGAAGAGTGCCTATTCAAGCGGCGCACTTAGAGTTTGCGTGGACAGTTTGGATCCATGCAGGAGTGCTGCTAATTTCCCAACATATCGGGATGCCGTTTGGGACAGTGTCGGCAGTGTACGCGTGGCACAGGGTCGGTGCGCTACTGTCCCGCATTCTTCGAAGATATTTCAAGTGTCCAGCTGCGCGCTATGTTGATGATTTTTTCGGCTCATGTAGAAAAGGGCTTAAGTACCACGCCGGTGTCGTGCTAAGCATCGTTAGCAGGCTCCTTGGCTTCCCTACGGATGCTGCCAAGGATGCTGACGATGCAATTAGCATGGTGTGTTTGGGTGCGCAAGTGCAGGCTTTCTTTTCCACGCGCCAACTTCAAACCCATGTTGCCCCAGCGAAAGCGGCCAAGTACATTCGCCAATTGAGCCAAATGCTGCAAACTGGCGTCTTAGCCCCAGGCGAGGCTGCCAAGATTGCGGGCAGATTAGGTTTTTCTGTTACGGTGTCTGGAAACAAAGTCGGCCGCGCTTTTATCAAGCCTTTTCATGCGCAGTCTCATGCTCCGCTGCACGGTTTTTCCATTTCTCCTCTCTTGAGAAGGGCAGGGGAGTGGTTTGTGCAGTATCTTCATGTTTGCCCCACATCTGTTAGAACTCTCCCAGCGGGCGACTGTGCAAAAGTTGTTTCATGGTCGGATGCCTCGGGAGAGAGTCAATGGATTGCTTCTGTGGTAAACTACCGAGGTCGTTTTTGGTGGACTCGGTCCAAAACGCCGCCGCAAGTGTGGACACAGCTGCTGAATCGCAGCGACTGTCAAATTCAGTTTCAAGAGCTGCTTGGTTTGCTGCTCACTTGGGGCACTTTTCGGCAAGCCTTGAGCCACAATCGATGGCTAGCTTTCGTAGACAACATGTCAGTCCTTCACGCTGTAACCAAAGGTTCAGGCGGAGGGCCAGAAGTTCACTTGTGTGTTGGAAAGTTGTGGCTTGAACTGGCCACGTGTCAGGTTGACTTGCATGTAGGAAGGGTGGAAAGCAAAGCGAACGTCTCCGATTCCCCTTCTCGCGATGACTTGTCACTGATGGCCTTATTGAAAGCCACCTGGGTTGAGCCAGTCTTTCCCACGTGGGTTTTTGAGCTTTGGGAAGGCCCCCCAGCTTTGTGAGACACTTTTCGAAAGAGCAAAACAAGCACGGCGCGATTCTGCAACTGTGACTGTTTGCTAGTGCTATTGCGCCGTAGTGTTGCGTTGTGCACGGCAAGCTGAGCGTCGGGCTGTTGACAGCTGTGGTTTGTTAGCTGCTGGCATGTCGCTCGCAACAGCTTTCCGAAGTGTTTGTCAAACTCCACAGCTTTCTTTTCTGGGGGATTCGAATGAATGAATTGCCCTTTGTTCGCGCGCAAGCTTGGGTGGAAGTAGCCCTGCAATCATGGACCCGCGGCTTGCCTGAGGAGCTCAGAAAAGCCCTTGCCCAAGCTGAGCATCTGCAAATAAACAAGCAGGCTCTGCGTGTTACTGGGGCGGGGCTGATACTCAAGGCGGACTACGTCTGGATTCGGCTGGAGTCTGCGTGGCAAGAGCGTAGGACAAAGCTCCTTGCGTCCTGGAGGAAGCTGGCGCTTAAGGAAGATGGAGATGCGAAAGGCGCTGTTGCGCACCCTTTCCAGCGCCTAAAGCCAGTGGACTTCAAAGCCGCCTTCGATGAGCTGTTGCAGTTTGTTTCAGAACCAAGCGGGTGCCCAGCTTCGACCTGGGAGCACCAGGCAACCATGGTTTTGGTGTCGCGGGGCTTCTTGTACTCGGCTCATCTTGAAGGTCTTTATCCTGACCAAGTGGCCAAGTGGAGTGGTACAGCCGCAGTCCAGGCCTTGTTGCGCCAAGCTGTGCTCAAGGCCAACGACAAAGGTCAGCAGCTAAAACGGCAGCGCCTGTGTGCTCAAACTTTGGGTGGTCCAGACAACGCATCTTCATCGGCTCATGTAGCTGAGTTTCTGCGAAAGTACGAGCCACGTTTGAAGCCCGAGCCAAGCATGGGCCCTTCCAAAACCTTGGCAGCTCTGGTTGCGATGCCGCAAGGACAAGCCGAACAGTGGCTGAGTACCGCTGCTGCTGGCTTGAAAATTTCGAGTCAGCAGTCTAGTCTGCCTTCGGTGTCGTCAGGGTTGCGTTTGTGGCATTCCTTCGCAGTCGAGCACCTGAGATACGCCGAGGACCAAACGCTACCTCCAAGGTCTGCTTGTGATGCCTTGCATTTCCTCGCATTATTTCGGAACCCCGGCACTGCTCGGAATTATGTTTCGTATGTCAGGTGGGCCTGCGTTGCTTTCCACTTGTCAACACTGTGGTGGGATGGTCAAGTGGAGTTGGCGCTGAAAGGCCTGAAAAAGCAACATCAAGCTAACTTGGCCGGACATTTGCGCGAGACAGCGCTGTTGACAGAGGACCTCATGGCTCAAATTCTGTCGTTATGCGATGGATTGCCTTTGCATGAGCAGTTCGGGGATCTCTTTTTGTTGACGTGGCAGTTTTTATTGCGCGGACCCAGTGAAGCAGTCCCATGTCTGTGGGGTACGCAGGCCGAAGTGCACGATCTGCCGCCTGACCGTCACTCTGCTTTGTGGGTCTCTTCGTCGGCCACAGTGTTTTTGAGGCTGAAGAAGCGTAAGAACAGACCGGAAGGCTCGTTGCTTCAAAGGCCCTGCATTTGCAAATCAGATGTCAATCCAATGTGCCTGGGTCATCGCCTGCTGCGTCGTTTGCCTCAAGTCCAAGCAGGCTGGCGTGTTTGCAGTTTGAGTGCCAAACAGATGCTTTGCAAGCTTCATCGCTTGCTGTCAGTACTGCAAGTAGCAGGCCCAGACCGGTACACCTGGAAGAGCTTTAGGGCGGGCAAGGCTACGTCGCTTGCTTTGGCCGGGAATAGCATCCATCAGATATTGCAGGCTGGTGAGTGGAAATCTGCAGCAATTCTGCGTTATGTGGATCCTGATGTCTTAGACTTACCCGCATGCCTTGAATCATTGTCGGATGCAGACGGGGAGGAAGCTGAAGAGTGACACCCAGAGCTGCGATGGGAGGGGACCAGGGCGTCGATGGGGGTTTTCTGATATCGGTCTCCGATGCGAGGATGTAAAGTCCTGGTGTGCTGAGCACTTTACCAGATCTTTTCTCATATCCTGAGTCGGTGTATCAGCACTCCTGTTGTTGCTGCATCTCCCCATCGAAGCTTGCAGCTACTGGTGGCAAAAGGCTGGTGGCATCTGGGCTCAGGTTTACTCTTCAGTTGCCTTTTGGGTGGTGCTTGAGATTTTGGGAGGATTGTGTGTCAGTTACAAGAGCTGGCTGTTGTGAGAGATGCACAATCTGACGAAATCGAATGGGCAGATGTTGCTCAAATCGGTTTTCCATTTATCTTTCCCACCCGCCCTCACCCTTTATTTACCAGTGGAGGGGGTTTTCTGATATCGGTCTCCGATGCGAGGATGTAAAGTCCTGGTGTGCTGAGCACTTTACCAGATCTTTTCTCATATCCTGAGTCGGTGTATCAGCACTCCTGTTGTTGCTGCATCTCCCCATCGAAGCTTGCAGCTACTGGTGGCAAAAGGCTGGTGGCATCTGGGCTCAGGTTTACTCTTCAGTTGCCTTTTGGGTGGTGCTTGAGATTTTGGGAGGATTGTGTATGTATGTATGTATGTATGTATGTATGTATACATATGTGTTTACAACAATGTATGTATACACAACTTTAATTGAGCGAAGCATGCAGGTAATGCTGATGGCAAGAAAAGCCGGACACCCGCAGCAAAAAACCCTTGCGCCTTGCACCGGCAACAAAAAGCACCCGCAAGAAAACAAACACTCCCACTTTGCACATCCATGCCCCCAAGTGTAGAAGCCACGTGGGAGAGTTGTGCGACATGTTTATAGGTGTTGGAGGAGAGCATCCTCCGCTTTGATGGCAGCCTGGCAGAAGATTATACAAGGTGGCCATGCTGCCTTCGTCAAGTCATTGAAGCGTCGAAGTTGCAGAACACAGTTAATCCAGTATTTAGGTTCCGCTTGTGAACACACCTCAGGCTTTTTGTGGATTGTGGGTCACCTGCTCAGAACAGGGGCATGACAAGATGATACGCTTGGCCCTCCATAGGAGTGACCAGGTTTTTTTTGAAGGCGGTCGTTTCCCAGGAAAGTGAGCGATGATATTTTCAAGTACTTCGCAGAGACGTCCATCTATGTCCATCCGTCTTGATCTGGGGAAAAATCAAGCCCAGATTGTGTCACTGGCAGCTGGGGAGGCGAATGCCCGCCCGGTTCTTGCCACAAGCTAATGTGTGGGATGCGGACAACCGTGTCAACCTAGGCATCAGCTTAGGACTTCCAAGTGCAAGGGGCAGATTGCGCAGACTCGATGAGTGTTCAGAGAAAGCGTTGCATAGCATCTTGTGTCAAGATTTGATGCCCAACACCATGCTGCGAATGGTGCCTTTGTGGACCAAGGTTTGCAACGAACACTTGCCCAGAAGGCTGAATGATGTGCGATTTATTTTAAAACTTTGGAAGGCCCTGCGCAATTATGGTCCAGCTTATGTTGCAGAGAGTTTGCTGCAGAGAGTCAGAATTCGAAGGTCCGTGATTGTTAAGAGGACAGCCACACAGCTTGTCTGTGTGATGTGCTGAAAGACCACATGATGTCAGGGCTGCTGAAATCAGGTGCAGAAGTTCGAGCTCGAGATCCCACGTCTGGTGCCGAGCGTGCCAAATGCGAGTCGCAAAAAACCTAAACTTCTTGCCTTTTGAAAGGGTTGAGTGGATCGCGCAAAACTCGCCTTCAAGCCTTTAAAGGAGTCACGGTCGATGACTTGGTCGGCCGCTTATGTGTTAAGTGCGAAGCATTTGAGTCATAGTCCGACTCAAGATGACAGGAACGCAATGTGACGCTGAGAACCGGGCTTCATGCTTATGTCGGCCCAGCAAGTATTCAGCTGTGCGCTGCCTTTCGCCCGCCAAGCATGAGGTACTTTATGGCTTCGCCCACAAGTGGAAGGCAATGAATTGGCAAGGAGCTCAAACGAGGGGGGGGGGGGAGGGTACTGTGCAGAGGATTGCTTTGACACTTTGCAAGTCTCTGCAGTTTCCACATCTGAGGACGTTGGATTACTTGACGGAGAAGATCCCGTTCGAGTGGGCCACAAGCTGAACCTGCCCATTGCATCAAAGCGCATCGTGCATTGGCGCATATTGCTTGAGGTGGACTACTATCCGAACAACATGAATGATGTCGCGAGCTGAGAAATCTTGGCTGTGTTTCTGCATGTAGCAGCGGCGTTTACATGTTCAGCTGCGCCAGGGCTGACCAGGGTCATGATGTTCATGACATTCACATGGATATCCTTTTCGGACCTCGGGTACTTGCCAGAAAGAAACTTGCTGATACTCGCATGCTTGTCAGCTTTTCTGGAAGCCTGATGATGGCCCAGATGCTCGTGCCGCGCTTGTTGGGGATGTTCGTGATGCCGCCGCCTGTGATGCTGATCCTAAGAAACCCTGAAACCACGATGCAATAAAATGGTATGTCGTTCTCATCGCACTCGGGCTTCAGGAGCTCCCGTGCCCTGCCTGAAGGTCTCTGGCCTCAACTCGCTCATCCCGTGTAGTCGATCAACACGCGTGTTCAACGGGGCAGGCTCTCTCGCCTTCCAACACCAACTAGGTAGCTGTAGAGGTTCGCGTCGCCTGGGACAAGAAGTAGTGGACATAGTATCATAGTGGGACCATATGAGAGAACGAGAGCTGTTTGTGGGGAGCACAGATGCGCCCACCGCAGTTGAAGAGAAGCCCGTATAGGAACGAATTTAGCCTTCTGCAGCAGGAGGAATCGCGGTTCTCCCCTCGTCGCCTGGTGCCTGGTGCATCAGCAAGGGCCCAGCGTGAAAGCATCACCGGAAACGGCTCCTTCGTCCAAAACAGATTGATGGCTCGCGAGAAGTCGCACGCCTTGCTTGCCAAGGGCCGGCATCGGTCCGACGACATTTGCTCAGAACAGGTTTGTGCACGCAAGGTAAGCCGTCGGTGAAGCATGAGGTGCACCCATGGGCACCCTAAATGAGCTTTGCGCCTCTGCACGGTGACATGCCAGCAGCGCCGTCTCCAGAAAGACCAGAGCCTTGTCACAGTCCGTGTCGACCGCCAAAGGCTAAACAGAAGCAACTCGCGATCAACAAACAACCCTTGAGAAGTCCGTCACTCCTATGGTCGAGGCCAGACGCCGAAGCTAAGGGGGCTCCAACTCGACGATCCAAACAGCTTGCCTGGGCCATTACTTGTTGACACTTTCAAAACTTTAGCTCCAAGACGCGATCCCCCCACCCTTCAACCCCAACAATTCAATGGCTGCAGTCTAGGTCAGCAGCAAGCCCTATTTGTTCAAGTTTGTCCAAGCTGTGCCGGTGCCTCGTTGTCCAAGACAAGAATTGAACATGCTGTTTTTGTGTCGGGTCTTTTGTTCACGTACGTCGCCACTCTGCCAGGCGGGAGTTCCAGAACCCGAAGGAGCTCAAAACTGGGAAACCAAAGCCGCAAACTCAATGTATTCTGTGGACGCGGTGTTTCTGGTGGCATTCCGACAGTCATCGTTGCGGAGGTATATGCAAATCCGGCCGGATCCCAAGACCATAAAAATGTTTAGGTGTTGTGCTTGAACCACCGTCTCTGGGTTGGCCATTCCAGGCCTTTGTAGGATGTTCCAGGAAAGGCGTTTGGGGGGGGGACACTGCCCACATGCCAGAATCTCCAAAGCCAGGGTGCAGGGCTTGGGCATTCTCGTAGAACACGAGGCCCTCACGGTGGCCTCTCGACATCATGTGGTTCCTCATTGTAGCCGAAGAGCAGCAGCTTATCAATCATCTTTTTGCTTTTCAGGAAACTTTCTTGTTTTGTACCTCGGATGTGGGAAGCACCTAAAGCTTTATCCTACAATCTGTTGCAATCAGGGACGACACATTTTGCAGCACCAGAATGCCATGACTACAAAGACTGAGCGTTTGTCCAAACCAGGCCAGAAATCTGAACCCACCGCAGCAGTGGCATACGCATATCACATATGTGTGCATAAATACACAATATGTATATATATATATATGTATAATATGACAAAAATTGTATATGTATAGGTATATGCATATGTATGTGTATATGCTTATGCATGTATATATATATACATATACATACATATAAACAAATGAATGTATCCAAATCCCGCATGGCATTTCCATATGCGTAGAACAAAATGCAGCTTGAGTAGGCAGTTGCCTTGCGTGGTTTCTCGCGTTTTTGTCAGGCTTGGACTGAGAGGTTGGAAGCGGCTGAAGAAAGATTTCGTTCCGACCAGAACTCAGATGCACAGAACTGCGAGCAATGTCTCTGACATGAAGATGCAGATGTGCATGCTGACCATGCACAGTGCACAAGCTACTGACACGAGGAAGCCGCTGCCAGATGTGTTTTGGGATGATGATGGGTGGATCGAGTCGTGCATGCGCAAGGACAGCAAGGTCTCGGCCCCTGTCAGTTGGCTGGAGTGATTGTGATCTGTTGGGAAAGCAGGTCGACCAGCCTGCAATCAACAATTTCTTTGTTACCAACCAGTGGAAATTCTTGCTCATTGGTGAGGAAGGCGCGAACGAATCGACACACAGTAGTGTTTTTTTGGGTATGTCACCAAATCAGGCACGACAATGTTCTTTCACAAAGATGGCACAGTCCGGGACCCAGACTAAGCCGATAAGCTGAGTCAGAACTTCAGAACTCGCAGACCATCAGTCCGAAGCTTTGGCTCCAACGGATATAGAAAATAGCTCAAGAAAATGGGTGTTTCGAATACTCCAAGTTCAGAGACTCGCGAGAGGAGCCGCAGCAGAGGCGCCGAGGAGTCACCGGTGCCCATCATAGATATTGCAGCTCTCTCAGGTGACGATGCAGCACAAAGACGGTCTGTGGCACAGCAGATTGGGCATGCATGCGAGCAGATTGGCTTCTTCGTTGTGGTAAATCATGGGATCCCCAAAGAAGTTGTTGACAACGCATGGAACAAGACATTGGCTTTCTTTGACATGCCGCTGGACGAGAAGAAGAAGTTTATCAGCGAAGATGAGTCGAAGTACCCATACGGCAGCTCAGCGCGTGATTCTTTATGCGTTTTAGACATAGAGCAGCGTGAAGCCAGCTACTGACATGGCGCCCCCGGCACCCCCGCCCAGGTTACTCGGTTCTCGGTGGTGAGCAGCTCTCTCGGGGAAAGGAGGTCGATGGCGGTGGCAAGACGGCTGCGGCAGGAGATCTCAAGGCGATCCAGTTACACTGAATATGTGTTGCGGAACAGGGTATGGTGGTTTTGAGGCGACCAGGGTGTCAATATGTCTTGCTTTCAGCTCCGTGTGCAGGAGATGTTCCAGATGGGCCCAAAGGATCCAGCGGCTGGGATGCCTCCACGAAAGCTTCCCGAAGCGCCTGCAGGTTTTGCAGCCGCGTGGGAGGTTCCTTGGCTCAGACTCAGCTCACCTCTGCGCGCGCTTTGTTTACAGCAGTTGAGCCTGTTGTCTTGCTGAACCAGTAGGACTACTACGACCACACCAACCAGTTGGCTCAGAAGCTCCTCCGAGCTTTTGCCATCGCTCTAGACTTGCCTGAAGATTGGTTTGTGAGCAAGACTGACAAGCACCTCTCCGCATTGAGATCGAACAACTACCCGGACCAAGTCGGCATGACTGTGCCGGCGGGCTCCATACGCTGCTCGGCGCACACCGACTATGGCACAGTGACCATTTTGAGGTCAGGAGGTCCTGGGCTGCAAGTCTCCAAAGACAAGGAGAATCCAGTCTGGCACGATGTTCCATTCATCGAGGATGGCTTTGTCATCAACCTCGGAGACCTCATGAGGAGATGGACCAACGATAAGTGGAGCTCCACGCTGCACAGGGTCATCAACCCCCCTGTAGGCAAAGCCGCAACCTGGGGAAGGCGATTGGCCCTGGCTTTCTTCCACAATCTCAACAAGGCAGGGCTGATGATGAAGCCTCCAGTCATCTCTAGTGCCTCTTTGTGTTGTTTTTGCTTTTTTGATGTTCGTCTCCTGTGCTACAGGATGCCATGGTCGAGACGATTCCTTCATGCATCTCTGACGACAGCCCTGCGCTTTACGATCCCATTGTGCTTCGGCCTAACAGGTGCGCGCGCACCCACAGGCATCCAGTCACTGTCAGCGTTGCAACGCGACAAGAACTTGGGTGAGACATTCCAGTAATTGGTCTTGTCACGGCAGTACAGGGACAACATGTGTTTTTTTAACGCATGGGTTTTCATGCAGAATCTGAGGTTTGCATGCTTTAGGTTCAACAGGTCAAGTGCCACGCGGCAAGTTCCTCAATGCTGAAAGTATGGTTTCTAGAGGCTTGGCTGTCGACATGGGTCCCTGAGTTCTCAGAACAGATGCAGCGTCAGTGAAGGGCTTTGTGTGCCCCCCCACCCCACCGTCCGGTGGGCGGTTAGGTAAGTCCCAGGTTTAAGGGAGTCGGGTTGGAGGGTGTGAGGTGGTCCAGGCTGATGCTTGATGGTTCAGCTATGCAACTGACCCACATACCTAGGTGGCTGGCGAGTTCCTCATGCTAAAGCACTTGGCAAGCAATGGCAAGGCTGAGCCGGATGCTCACCTCAAAAGATCCAAGGCTTGAGAATGGATGACGGCACACAGTGCGATGCACAGGGTCGCCATCAGTCCAAGCCGCAAGACGTTTCAGTGGAGTATTCCTTGCACTACCAATAGTACCCAGACATGGTAACATGGCACAGATGTGCCTAGCAAACCGCTTCATTTCAACAGAAGCGTTACTTGCTTTGTTGTTGTCTGTGTAAGACAAGGATAACTCTTTTTTGCGGTGCAGAGACTTTGTTTGTGTCTGGTGTCCAGCACAGACCTCGAGAAGATCATGCACGCACTTAGCCGCACACTTGAGCAACGCACGTGCCCTTCCGCCAGCAAGCTGGATATTGGACACTTGCCTTCGTGTCACTGGAATTTCCGTCCATGATGGTCTCAGCTGATGGTTGCACAGCTGGATCTCGAGGGAAGTTCTTTTCAACGTTTCCCTAGCCCGCTTAGTTAAAATCTTTGGATGCATTCGACTTGGTGTTCATGGTTCTTGGTTGCTTCTCGCTTTCCTTCGCGATATATGTGTGTGTGTGTGTGTGTGTGTGTGTGTGTGTGCGTGTATGTGTTCGCGTGTGTGCGTGTGACTTTCGTCTTGGTGTGTGCAGTATGTGTGCGGGCTTCGATTTCCGAAGAGTGCTGAGAGTCTGAGAGTGTTGTTTATGTTCTATTCTGCTCATCCGAAGTCCAGCTTGTCAGCAGTGGTATGAGGCAGCCTCCAGTTGGCAAGTCCAGCTTGTTGGGAAGAAGAGGCAATCCGTCTCAATATCCGTCAATCATCTTGACTCCTGCACCTGCTCGAAATTGCAGTGGTGACGGTGGTGGTGTCTGGCAGGTGGACCTTGTGCCCAAACTCTGAGTCACACCTCCTCCACACAGAGCTTGACACGTGCCCTGCTCGGCTAGGATTATTGGAGAGCCATCAAACAAGCAGGGATCGGATCGTGAGAAGATATTGTGCTGTCATTGCTCCCAGGTACAAGCCTGACTATGCAAAGTTTCCGCGGTTTGCGAAGGCCCGTTGCGGGCAGGCCATGGACGTGAAAGTTCTGAGACATTTTTGGGGGCTTGCTGCAATGCAAGCCCGCACAGGTCACCGTGTCTCCAGGGGTGCATCCTGCACGACTTTGCCAGACTTGCCCGATGCTCTTGCTGAGAAGATGTGTGTGTGTGTGTGTGTGTCTGTATGTGTGTGTGTGTGTGTCTGCCAGGAGCTTCTGTACTATCCAGCGTATTGGTGGCATCACACACTTCAGGCCTGATGCTTGCGTCTCATGTTTGCCTGGTCGCAATACAAAAAGACATGGTTGATGTGTCCATCCCGGCGCAGTTGGAGAGCCCCAGCATTTCGTACACTGGGGCACTGGTTGGTGTTGAAGCTGACCGACCCGATCTTGGGGCTGACAGGTGGGAACATCTTTCATATTCTGCCGTGTAGAGACATCTGCAGAGTATGGACACGAGACAGATGATGGTGCATCCAGGAAACCACATATGAGATTCTACGCGGATCTGCAGGAAAAATGCGGTGCACTAAGACTTCCGGTGTGAGGAGCTGCTGTCACAATCAGGGGAACGACAGATTATTGATCGCGGCAGCTGGCTGGCAAAGGTTCCAGATGTTGGAAGAAAGGCGTTGAGCAAAGGAAGGGCTGCATTTCTTCTGCTTTGCTCACATCCCGAATGTTCCCAGCCCGGCAAGAGGAGCTGCAGAATGCCCCGCAATGCCAGGCAGTGTGATGACATATCGCTCAAGTGGGCCGGGGTGCTCCTGCCATTGTTCAGTAGCAAAGAAGTGCCTCAGAGGTGGCACGTTGAATTTCTGCTTGGACGAGTCCAGTTTGGGGCTACATCCAGGCAGCCCCCCCACCACTTCGAGCCGTTTGCGATGAGTACCTTCCAAAGTGTCCGTGGCTGAGATTGCCGCGAAATCAGCGTATTTTCACAGGATGTTGCAGACCTTGAAGAGCTGAGGTTTAGATCTTTGGTCTTCGCATGCGAAAGAGTTGCATGGTGCTGCTTGCACGGTTGCTCTGGCTTAGAGTGTTGTCAGCTGTATATGCTGTATACCTTCGGGCTTCAGTCTGAGCGTGGGGGTACTTTGGGGGCATGTGGCGGGAGGGGGAGTTGAGGGTGATGTCAGAGGCCCATGGAGCTGACACCGTCGCGGAATTTTCGTCTATTTCCGTCGTACTGCAGCTATCAATAGATGAACCCGGTCCATGCAATGTCTGCAATGTACGGTCACTTTATGGGATCAATGTTGGAGTTCGGATAGTTCGGGGCTTTGCGCATCAGAAGTCCAACCTTGTCAAAAGATGCAATACTGCAGCACCATTGCGTTGCTATTTGGGTGTTGTCTCTTTCACAGCTGTTCAGCAGAGTCTGGTGTCAGCAGCAACACAGGAACACATGATGTGCATTGTGCAACTTGAAGCAAAAGATTTCACAGGCCGTCAGGCAGATGAGCTCTGAGACCGGCTCAAGATATGGTGTGCTGCAGCTTACGCACGATGCCTTTCCAGAGTCTTGTGCAGACAGTTGGCTTTGTTACAGCCGCTGCAGTCCAGCGACTCGCAGGTGTTAATGCATTTTCACCAAGGCGTTTGCTTGCGGTGATGTTCGGTTCCGTATATTCAGCCGAAAAGCAGCCGCTCTTGGCCAGCTCCGCTTCTGCAGAGTATCAGCTTGCATGTGGTTGCAGTCGACCTGCCGACCTGCCGTCGCGATCCAGCGGCTCGAAGAACGCAACGGCAAAGCACCGGCAACTGAAGTTTTTTCAGACGGCTGGGACAAGTCGGACAAGCTGCAGGCCGGCTGACTTGGATTGAGCGCAAGTTGCAAATTTGCACTGTGGAGTGGGGATTGTGGGGATCATGGGTAGATCGTGTGGGGCAGTGCTGGAAGGCCTATGGCTGTTCTTCTTCAACCGGGTCGCAGTTGGAACCCCATGAGCTGTTCCTCTGAGCTACGATCGCTTTGGTGTTCTGCAACTCCCGTCCAGACACTGTTACGGTGTTGCAGTGCAAGACCGTTTGAACGACCTACCCTTGTGATCCCGTGATGCCAGACTCCTCACAGGGCCCTTGATCCTGGCAGTCCCCAGGCCGAAATCCAGTCAGGCGAGGATGCAGGGCCCATTCCTCAGTGCAATATGTCCGATCTACTCCATAGGGACGATGTGTCGGGTTGCTGAGGTCATAGAAGCTGCTGTCTTGGTGGCCTTCATCTCAGTGAAAAAAGGGAGAAAGGGAGGGCGGGTGCGCCAAGAGGGGCATCAGAACATTTGGAGAACATTTTTGTGGCCCTTTTGTTAGTTGTTTTGTATTTGTGTTGTTTGTGTGTGTGTGGGGGTGCGTGTAGGGGTGGTTGTTTTTTGGCTATGAATTCTCATTGTTAACATAGGCTCAAAAGCACGAAAACAAGAAATACATACAGAAAGGAACAGAAGCAGAGAAGGAAAGAAACAGCAAAGAAAGAGAGAGAGCTAGAGCAAGAACGAAAAAAGAAAGAAGCAAAGAAAGGAAGGAAAGAAGCAAAGGAAGAACGACAGAACGAAAGGAATTGCCAAAAAGATAAAGAAAGAAAGGAATACCCAAAGGAAGAAGACAGAAGGATAACGAAAGAAAAGAAGACAAACATAACAACAAACGAGAAAGACAGAAAAACAAAGAAACAGCGGCATAAAGAGAAAGAAAGTTTTTTTATAACAAAGAAAGAAATAAATCAAAAAAGAATCAATTAATGAAGAAAGAAACAAAGAAATACAGAAAGACATAAACAAACAACGAAACAAACAATTCAGAACGATCCATATAGTGAAAGACAAAATAGATAATTAAACCACATCAAGAAATAATGAAATAGCATGAGAAATAAAAACACCAAGAAAAGCCACAAATAAATTATTGCAGGCCTAAAGAAAGAATGACAGTAGCTATATACAATAAAGCAATAAGCAAATAATTAGAAGTGTCACGAGAAAGAATTGAAAGAAGTAGCCCCCCCAAAAACACAAACGAGGTCCCTCCCCCCAAAAAAAGAAACGGCCCAAAACAAGTCTCTAGGTAGCTGCCAGTCTGATTCTCCAAGCCAGCTGCGCAGAGGCTGGGGACTGGAGCTTGAGCACTGCAGTTGTTCTGTAATTGTTATTGTTGTGTATCAAGTCAATTGTGCGATAGACAGGGCTTCGTCCAGCCCCACGTCTCCATCGGCTCCATGTCTGCCAAAACGACAATGCAGGCTGCATCTGTCTCCTGGCTGCTGAGCATTGAGTGGCATGCTTCTGCAGGGTTGGTCATCTCAAAGCCCGCCAGCCTCGTACCGCCGTCGCGCTTTGTGGGGTCGCCCACAGTTACACCAGTTTCTGGATTTTGCAATAGGTCGCCATCTAACCGCGGATCAGCATCACGTTCGTGAGGGCCCGAACTCGCAGTCACAGTCATAGCTTTGGAGATAGAAGCTCAGCTCAGGTTTGGCATCGCTGGCTTTAGCCTCTTACTCGTCTATGCCACGCTGCGTCAGCAGGTCACTCCTGGTCTCTCCTCTTCAATGTCTCTCTGAAGTGAAGAGCAAGATGTGAAACAGGCACATGCTTCCACCGCTCGTATCGCGCAGCCTCGGGTTGTGCTGGCAGCCATTGTCCCAGGGTTCGAGACTATCCGTGACTTTGGCTTCGTGCCTCATATTCTGACAAAAGGCTGTGCCAAATCAGATGACTCCTGTGAGGCGCGACCTGAATTTTGCATGAAAACCTTGGAAGGAGGTAAGAAGAGGGCACAGATGATTCACGAGGTCCCTGGTGGCTTCAGCTAGCGCTGAACCCAAATCGGAGATGTCCTCGCCTCCATCAGTGCCAGTGCTCAGACGACTGGGGAGGTTTTTTCTTTGCTGAAATCCCGAACACGTGACAAGGTCTGCGCCAAAGAGATGCTGATGGAAAAAGACATCCTTTTCCAGGAGTACCGGAAGTGGAAAGAACACCTCAACACTTCGCTCATGCTTCGCTGCGAGGAAGTGCCAAAGATCATTGCACCAGTCACCCCAGCGCTTCCTACAACAAGACTTACTGCCGCTACTATGAACGCCGGCAGCCCACCTGTGATCCTTCTGCATCTTCGTTCGTTCTCATGCTTGACCAAGGCAGAGTCGACTGCAGACGGGCACTGCGCTTACTTGGCCGACAGTCCTGAGCAGGCACTGTCCTTGACTGGAGTAGGACTCGTGAGCTGAGGACGCCATCACGCCGAGGGCGTCAGGCTGCCGTTGTTTGCGGTAATATGTTAGGCATCGTAAGTTCAGTGGATTGTCCTGAAGGCTCGTTTCGTTGCTGGAGCACGCCGGACCTCAACCCAGTCCACACATCACCGATCTTCGCGCAAGACGGCATGTCCAGCGCCAAGACTGTCGGCAGACCCTTCGTGTCTTTCGAAGTGTTTCCTATTCTTGCCATGTCACTTCCTCCATGTCACTTCCTTGCAAAGAGGCCGTTCCAGCGTGAAGCTGATGCCCACAGTCCATGCTGTAATCCCAGCTGTTGGCGAACGACGCTACCCAGATGTTTCGAGATGTGTCGGGTGCTTGAGATGATCTCGGACTCAGGTGGTCTCGCAGCCGCCATCCTTCGACGTCACCAGACTTCGACTGAAGATTCAGACAGGTTCGGCGCTAAATGTGCCCAACATCGATGCAGCATCATGATGAATTGCCTACGCAGTGCCAAGTTCTGCCCTCAGCTGTTTGTAGTTGCTGTGGCAAGGCCTGAGTGTGACTTCGGGTGTGAGCTCACAACGTGTTCGTGAATCCCGCACTCCTGCGGTGGGGATCCCAGCCGCTGTCGATTTGCAAAACCTTCAAGAATCTTCAACATCTCTTGCAGTCTCAGTTGCGATCTTCACATGTTTTGTTGGGTTGGACCAAGGCCAACAAGGGCACTTGCATCAACACGGACTCCCGTCTTCAAGAAAAAGATCTAGGAGAACACATTCCATCATGAGGCTCGCTCAACAGTATTGCCTTTCAGAGCATTCTGCACGACGGAATCGCATGCTCTCCAGAAGGCAGAAAAGCATGTTAACGAATCCTCATAACCACCTGCGTGTGATTTGTTGTGTCATCTGTGCGAACGCGCGGCAGGAATCTTCATTGTCATTTGCTGACTGCAGCTGGTGCTTGCCTTGTCGCTACTTTTGCCACTTCTTAGCTGCTCAGGCTGAGAGCTGTCTTTGTGCACACGACAAGGCATGAAAATGTAAAGCAGGTGTATACAACTGTTATTGGGATGCGTGCGTGCGTGCGTGCGTGCGTGCGTGCGTGCGTGCGTGCGTGCGTGCGTGCGTGCGTGCGTGCGTGCGTGCGTGCGTGCGTGCGTGCGTGCGTGCGTGCGTGCGTGCGTGCGTGCGTGCGTGCGTGCGTGCGTGCGTGCGTGCGTGCGTGCGTGCGTGCGTGCGTGCGTGCGTGCGTGCGTGCGTGCGTGCGTGCGTGCGTGCGTGCGTGCTTGCGTGCGTGCGTGCGTGCGTGCGTGCGTGCGTGCGTGCGTGCGTGCGTGCGTGCGTGCGTGCGTGCGTGCGTGCGTGCGTGCGTGCGTGCGTGCGTGCGTGCGTGCGTGCGTGCGTGCGTGCGTGCGTGCGTGCGTGCGTGCGTTCGTGCGTGCGTGCGTGCGTGCGTGCGTGCGTGCGTGCGTGCGTGCGTGCGTGCGTGCGTGCGTGCGTGCGTGCGTGCGTGCGTGCGTGCGTGCGTGCGTGCGTGCGTGCGTGCGTGCGTGCCTGCGTGCCTGCGTGCGTGCGTGCGTGCGTGCGTGCGTGCGTGCGTGCGTGCGTGCGTGCGTGCGTGCGTGCGTGCGTGCGTGCGTGCGTGCGTGCGTGCGTGCGTGCGTGCGTGCGTGCGTGCGTGCGTGCGTGCGTGCGTGCGTGCGTGCTTGCGTGCGTGCGTGCGTGCGTGCGTGCGTGCGTGCGTGCGTGCGTGCGTGCGTGCGTGCGTGCGTGCGTGCGTGCGTGCGTGCGTGCGTGCGTGCGTGCGTGCGTGCGTGCGTGCGTGCGTGCGTGCGTGCGTGCGTGCGTGCGGGCGTGCGTGCGTGCGTGCGTGCGTGCGTGCGTGCGTGCGTGCGTGCGTGCGTGCGTGCGTGCGTGCGTGCGTGCGTGCGTGCATGTGTGTGTGTGTGCGCGCCATGTGTGTGCTTGTGTGTGTGTGTGTGTGTGTGCGCTTGTGTGTGCTTGTGTGTGCTTGTGTGTGTGTGTGCGCGCGCGTACATTGGGTGTCGTTTTGGGGATACGAGTAAACAACAACCTTGCTTGATGGAGGCATGTGTACTCTGAACTTGAAGTGATCACTCAGGTGCTCTGCACAAGAGTGCCAACGCAGCATCGAGGGGCTCCAGCCACACAACTCAAGTGGAGTACACGTATGCTCAATTGAACAACAACTGCTAGCTGCTAGCTAGATGAAGGCAAAGAATAGAAAGTTGTGTGGCTGGAGCCTTTCGCAGCTTTGCCAACTGCCAGCGGCGACGGGCTCTGAGTCAAGGAGAGTGCGGGGCTAGGCCAGGCAGCTGCAGAGAAGCCTCAGGAGTTTGCCGATGTACTCCCGGGAGCTCAGCAGCCAACTCAGAATCTCAGAATAAAAGAGCCGGGGATGCACATGAGGGACACGAGGGACTGGGCATAGCCAGAGCAGTTCAGGCTTGGGGCTACTGCGGTTGATCCTGAGCTACATGGGGCTCCCCCGATGGGCACGCCACCCAGATCTGCTTTTGAGCGTCGCAGTGTCGTACGTAGCACGCGGAGACCGCGTTGGAGCTGTAGATGCTGTATATGACTGCATTGAGTACATGGTGCCAGTTCTGTACTGGCGTGCAGCTAAGGTTTACATGGAGAACTTTGCTGGAGATGAGATCCTTTGGTGCTCACACAAAGGTGGGTGGTCTTCCGCACTGCGAAATATGAAAGGTTTGTAAGCGCGGTATGAGGGGAACACAGGGTCAACAACAGACACGTGCCTACCTACCGGACTAGGGAAAATTAGCGTTGTGAGAGCCAGGCTGCCGAGGATTAGTTTCTACACTTGTAGTTGCCCACTAGCAATTGTAAACATCTTCTTCACATTCTACAGTCTTCTGTGGCAGCCGGTCCGACACTGAAGCTGTCGAAGTGCGCCTGGAAAGCTGTGCTTTCAAGGCTTCCAGGGCCTCACTTTGCTTTTCGCTTCTTTAGGATGAGGATAGGCATGCGGCACTTGATGAGAAAGGCAATGCGAGGCTGAGCGCTTCTGACAGAGCTGGTACTTTAGGTACCTGCATATCCTGTATTTGCGATCATCTATGCTGATCGGCGGGAGGCTTCTGCAGGGAGCCCGTTCTATGGGCTCCTTGCAGCATCAGCTTCTGCTGAGGTGAAGGAAAGTCACACACAGACTGATGCTGCGGAGCAAAAAGGTGTTTCAGCATCCAAGATGGCACGGTCTGGCCACTGCTCCCAGCTAGCAGAGCCATGTGCCGTCGTGGTCCTGTGCGGCAGCAGGTGGATTGGTACCACTTGAAGTCAAACAAGGTGGAATGCGGCATCACAAGCAGGCTTCCATGACTCCCTTGATGATCACAGGGTGGTTGCCCGCTGCTCCACAAGAACCTGAAAGACCGCCTGGTACTCGGAGAACCTTAACACGTGATGTCAAGACCGACAGTCCGAGTTCTAAGCCGATGATGCATGGTGCATGTGGTGAGATCGCTCCATGCCAGGGCCCAACATCGTCGTAAAGGTTTGCGAGAGGGCTCTCCAGGACCTTGCAATCCAGTACATGCAGCTAGCTGGGCGGCCTGTGTCAGACAGCTTCAGTTTAGGACATGTATCGGGAACTGCACAACGATCCCTCGCAGAAGGTGGGTGAAAGCGAATCTGACTTGTGCATCTCACATCGGCCTGCGTCGCCTATGACCTTTGCGTTTTTTCTCTACGTCTCCCCCGCGTCCCCCCCCCCTCCACGCCCCCCCCCACCCCACCCCCGTGTCACCGCGTGGCCCGCCTCCGTCCTGTGCCTCTTGTCCCCAGCCATCCCCAGCTATGATGACACTTGACAGGCTCCGATCATGCAGTTGGGTATCACGGCGGATGCTACTTTGGATCGTCGCTGCCCTGAAAACCGGGTAGAGCAGTGGAAGGGCCTTTTGCATGTGGCCGCCCCTTGCGCATCTTTGGCCTAGAGTACCTGCAGTGAGGCTCGGACCACAGCATGCAGCCCATGCTGCTGACTCCTCAGCCTTCAGCAGCGCCGCAGACTGCAGTCCAACCATCCACTTGCCGAGGATCCGAGAGCTGAGGCATGACCAGGTTCCGCTTTCTTTGGCGTGTCTTAGTGTTGGCTTGTTCGCGTGCTCTTTTATATCTTTTATTGTTTATTGTGTTATCATGCCACGCTATGCCGGATGCACCAGTCAAAATGGACTCCTGCATTTACACAATCACGACCAGCTTCGTAACCCGAAGGGCCATCCGAATTTGCGAGCCTTTTGGCTTTTGGGACGTCTCGGATTTGGAGAGGTTAAAGGCTGAGTGCAGCAGGCTTGAAGATAACAGGCCTGCAAACGAGGGGCAGAACAGGACAGCTTCACTTAAAGACCCTACGAAGTGGTTACAGGCGGTTTTCCAAAAACAGTACGCAAGCAGCAACAATTGCAAGCAATGGAGCGCCCGCACAGCTAGATTTAGGGCCACGAGGTCTCTTCATGTGGAGCCTTGGGGATACGCGAGTTGGACTGGAGCCTTCAACTATCTCTTTGTCCTGCACATCATGTGAAAACAGATGCAGTGCCAAGTCATCCATCGTCCATGATTTCCCAGTCGCTGGTAAATCTTGGTTCAAAGTTGATGGGGCATAGGTAGAAGAGCTGCGCTCCGACGCTAGATTGACCACACCTGGTTCCTTCATAAAAATGGCATCACAACAATGCCGGTCATTGACATAATCCCTGGCTGTTGCGGGCGGAGCTTGTGCAATCCGACGACCCCGTTTCCCCGCAGCGGAGCAGGTTAAGCCGGTTAAGCTCGGTTACAAAGCGGCGTCTTCCATTCAGGTGGACAGCGTTCTTTGTCGGCATGCACTAGTGCACAGCGCGAATGCACTGGAGTTGGCGCAAGAGGGCTTTGAGTGAGAGGGGGAGCTGCAACTTGCTAGCCTTTCCGCATGTGAAACTTTTGAGCCCCGGTGCACAACTTCGCCTGTGAAGCGACCTGTCGTCTGCAAAGTTCCCGCAGTTTCCCCCAAGAGGGGGTTTCTAGGGATCCGTAAGAAGCTCTGAATCCCGGACTACAAAGTAAGGCTCATGTGACAGCCAAGAAGCTTGGGCGGCAGAGTCTTCCTCCACAGTTTTTCCGGGCCTCTATCTTGGGTCCCCTTCTAACCGAGGGCCTTCGAGGAACCCCCAAAACTTATCCACACTAAAACAAAAAGGGAAAGGGGGGAACGGGGGGAGGTTTCCCGCGGGGACCGAGGAGAATCAGTCATATTTCATATTCAGTTAGGCATAGACGTGGTGAGCGTCCGGACAAAGGCAGACAGGCAACGAGTTGCAGTCGAAGCTGCAGTGTTCTTTAACTGTGTGGCATCGCTCCGTGCAGTGCCGTGAGGTTCTGGGTTAGTGTTCGGGCAGACTAGCACGTAAGATTCAGCAGGTGCTTGAAGGCTGTTGAAAAGCCAAAGCAAAGGCAGCACCCAGCTCCTGCAGGTGGAGAAGCTCGTGGTCATTCAGGGCATCGTCGTATCGGTTCGAACTCCGAGAAGCAAGGTGCGAAGGAAGATTCAGCATTGGACTGCCTGGCAAGCATGGAGCCTGAGGTCCGCAAAGTAGTCTTGAGATGCTCCAACTGTGAGAATGTGGAGGAGGCAGGTGCAACAATAGTGCGACTATGCGCAACTATGTGCAACTATAATTTGCGGGTTCGCTCAAGGTAACCGTGGAAGCTGGCTTCACTGCTGCCCACATTCCAGGAGCGTGTAAAGGCAATGCTCTCCGGGCAGGGCACAGGGCTTACAATGAAATGGCTTACAATGGCTTACAAGCAGCGTGGCGCTGGCAAACCAGGCAACACACTTGCTGAAGGATCATATTCACACTGCCCTTGATGGAATGCAGTTTGAAGAATTCTCTGCCTTGGGCACATTTTTTCTAGCCTGCTTGCTTAAGGAACCTGGAACGATGCCCACCCAACTCGTTCGAGCAGCCGGCATGTTTCTGAAGTAACAAACGACACTTCTGAGCACTTCAAACGGTGGAACACCTCCAAGCACTTGTTAGGTGGCTGATGCGTCGCTGAGCGAATACGCCTCGGACCAAAGAGTTCGATTGCAAGAGCTGCCGGAACACGCGAGCCTCCCCCGGCATGTCATTGTGAAGTATTTTGTGGCGCGACTGTCGGTGTGCTCCTGGTGTTGTAGAGGTACCGGTGGGAGAGATGCCTCGGTCCATCGACCTCTGTGCGCAGATGTGCGCCAGCTCGGCCATGCGCGTTGGTGCTCTTCAAAGGGCTGGCGCCCTCTGCCGCCCGTCGACGCCACTTGCGCTGGTTTGTGATCACGCCATCCTGGTGCTGGTAGCTGCAGCCCTTGCACTGTTGTGCAAAACGCACCGCACAAGACGCGATGTGACGCCCAGTGGCCGAAGGCTGCTGCCAGATGTTGTGTTTCAACAAGGTGCCGTACCGACACGCCCAGAGAACTCCACAGGAACACCTTGACAACATTGCTCATGCTGAAGGCTGCTCCTCCTGCACCCTGCGTCGGGTACAGTCCGCCTGGTACAAAAGGAAAGTCGAACACGAGGAGTTTGTCGAGCATAGACAGCAGGGTCAGTTCCACTGGCTCGGCTGTTGGTACCTTTCAGATCCACCCCGCCCCCCAAATCTGTTGGGTCGTCGTTCTTTGCAGAATGTGTCGTAGCCGCTCAGGCTGCAAGAAGGAGTGTTATACGCAAGTGCTGTCGAGTAACATCATAACATCATGGCCCCTTGCAAATCGCCTGTGCTGCATTGTTTCGCCCTACGGGCAGTCTTGCCGCTGTTAGGGCTGAGGGTTCGGACTATTGATGTTAATTCTCGTTGCTGACGTGCAAACCATTGAGAAAGTGCCACCGCCCGATGTGTCTTCGCACCAGTAGCAAGGAGCCTCAATCCAAGAAGCGAAGCCTTCGGGTTGTGTCCGGTGGCAGAAGTGAGACAAGAGGTAGCGGGCCACTTCCCGAAAGAGGAAACCAGCATGTTCAAACCACCAGGTATGATGTGGATCTATGCACGCCTGGCACACGCCTAACGTGCATCGGCACCATCCTGAGAAGAGTTTCTTTCTGGCTGCTGGCATCTCTGTGCTTTGCTTTTGCCCAAGGAGTCTTCAATGCCTCGGAGAAGGCTGCAGGAGACAAGCTAACGCGGGGCAGGACCCGACGTTCGCATTGAGAGACATTGCAAGCAAGCCGAGAACAATCTGAGCCCGAGGAACCAGGGCACCAACACCGTGAAATACTCGTACATCCAGGCCTGACAGCCTTGCTTCTGCTCAGCGCGTGAGCGAAGCTGGACTAGAAGCAATAGGTCTAGACACAGTGGTGAAGCTGCGGGTTGCTTGCTTTCTGGTGCTGTAGGTCTGTAGGTACTCAAGTTACTCAAACATGCCGGTCACACCTGAGTGCTCCATCGTTGAACAGGGTTGTGCTGTGTGCAGGTCTTGGGCTTGCAGCGGGCCCAAGGCAATCGTTCCCAGGCGGACTGTGAGCATGCTAGGTAGATCTAGGCTGGCGGCTCATGGATTTGAGACTCTCCAAGGGGGCCTTGGAGATCAGCGCGGAGGAGGAGGAACGCTTCGACCAGATCTCCAAGGAAGGGTGACCGCGAGATGACGCGAGATGACGCGAGTGCGGCGCTGTGTCAAAAACCATGCAGAGCAGGATCCCGGCATCCGGGAGAAGATCTTTCAGAGCATGCCTTGGTGACCCACGTGTGCATACTTTGTGCTTGAGTGTGTGTGCGCGCTTACAGTGCCTCTTTGCAGCTGACGTTGTCCAAACAGTGTTGACAGATTCAAGGGTTGAGGCATGTTGGAATGCGCAAGGAACATGCTGAGCTGAATCCTGACAAGCCGAATCCACTCCCCCGTCCAGCTTGAGGTCCATTGCTCCGGCAATTTGCGCCAGCGAGAAGGCGCCTTGACGCTGAGCCCCCACTTGCTGCCTGTAGGGGAGGTGGCTGCATTCTGTCTACCTGCCAGGATGTGGTCAACGACGTCAAGAGGGCAGTGGCTTGCACAGCCCTTAGGGAGGGCAGAGGGGGAAACAACAAAATCAACAGCTCCCCGAGCACTTTTTCAACAACAATGTGTACAATACTTGAACTATCAAGCACATGAAGCTGTCTAGCTGCAGTGGTGAAAGCGAGAAAGCGAGAGAGCGAGAGAGAAGAAGAAGAAGAAGAAGAAGAAGAAGAAGAAGAAGAAGAAGAAGAAGAAGAAGAAGAAGAAGAAGAAGAAGAAGAAGAAGAAGAAGAAGAAGAAGAAGAAGAAGAAGAAGAAGAAGAAGAAGAAGAAGAAGAAGACGAAGAAGAAGAAGAAGAAGAAGAAGAAGAAGAAGAAGAAGAAGAAGAAGAAGAAGAAGAAGAAGAATAAGAAGAAGAAGAGCGGCAGAGCGAGACGCCCCGATTTGACAGCCTATTCAAAAGTTCTTGATCCAGGGTACTTCATTTTGCTTACTATTCCCACTACTGCGGTTGTATGATAGTTCTTGGTAGGTTGTTAAAACTCTTTTCTGGGTTCTGGTTAGAAGAACTTTTGAGACAGTTCTGCTTTCGAAATAGCTCGCCCGGATAGGGACTGTAAAGACCTGGCCGCCTGCCCATGTTTTCAAGCCGAACACTGAACAAACCTAGGCTGTCTTGTGCAGACTCTGAGGCTTGCTCTTTGGCGGTTCCAGGAAGTTCTTGCCAAGTGGCAACCGCATCCGAGGCGCTTGAGAGAGCATCAGGTGAGTGCCATGTCGCTTGTGCCAGCATGAACAATGATGAGGTGACATCAACGTCTTGCTCCTTGGTGATCCTGGTACTGCAAAGAGTCAGGTGCGATACTTAGGCATGGGTGGCTTGAAGTTGTGAAGTTACACAGTCGCCTTGATACGATGCAGATCTTGAAGTTTGCTGGCCAAGCAGCTCCCATTTCAGTGTACCGTGCTGAGTCGTTCTGTTGGAGCTCGCGTCCTTTATGTTGAGTGAGCTGGGGGTGAGACTGAGCTGTTCGATAGAAAGGTACACCAGCGGGAAAGGCAGCAGTGCCGCGGGATTGACCGTCAGCAACTCAAAGTGCTGGTCTTCGTCAGCATTTGGGCAATGTCGCGAGCATCTTCCCACAAGTCTGCACAAGGCTGCTATCGTCAAGGAAAGGAATGGCTTCACTCTTGAAGGCAGCATAGTTGCGTGGCTTTGCCGTGCTCATGGATAATCTAACTTGCAGGTGGAGCCATGGTTCTTGCCGACGGTGGCATTGCCTGGGACCTAAGGGCGGACAGTGCCCAAGACTTTGTACACACCTAGCTGTGTGTGAGAACCAGCCCTTAGACATGAGCAAAGCCCTCCCAATCGTTTCTTGTTCTCCTTCTGCACTTCTTCACACGCTGCGGGCTTGCCGCATGCCAGCCACTGAAACTAGCAGAGCAAGTGAGAGAACCTGTTCTTGCACTTGCTTGATCCGGGTTCGTAGGAAGAGTCTGCAGGGTAGCTTTGCAACGACTAGCTAGCCTTAGCCACTTGACGTTTCGGCTTTCCACTTGTGCAGTTTTAATTTCGGACAATCATCCAAAGGCTTATGAGATTTCGTTCGTGCACAGCGCACTCTGTTCTGAAGCTTTCCATCAAACTCAAAAGCAAGCCGCCCTCAGTTTTTCTGTCCGACAGAGGCTAGAATTTTGCGGTCTTCCGGCACGCTTGGTTCGCAAAGCAGACATGCAATTTCGATTCGAGTGGTTAGTTCACATGGAAATCAATATCGTGCACTGCAAGTCACTAGTGTTGCTGATCTCGGCGTTCTCCCCTTATCGCCGGATGTGCTACCGCCCTCCCTCTTCTTCCTCGTGCTTCTCGGGCAACATTCCATCCCCGTCAGCCATGTGCCCATCTGTCATGATATCTTTGGAGAGCTAGGGATCAGCTCCTTCTCGACATTTCATGGCATTTCATGACAGCAGACCTACGCCCACTGCAGTTTGGCTTTCTGACTGATCTGGCACCACTTTAGCAAAGGCACTTTGCAGATTCCCCGAATTGTGAAGCCCAGGTGTGCATTGATGAGTTTGACAAGATGGATGCCAAAGATCGGGTGGCCATCCATGAGGCCCAGAAAATCTGGCTTTGCACCTTCCTGTCAACTTGTTTCGCTCCAGGCCATGGAGCAGCAAACCATCTCCATCTCAAAAGCGGGTATAACCACAATGCCGGGGGCTTGAGCGAAATTCCGGTCGCAGCGCGCTCGATCGTCTACCTTGTGCTGACTCGCAGAGTTGGGCCATGCGGCTGAGGCTCAACACACGTTGCAGGCCTTGATGTGCAGCGAATGTTTCAGTTTGTAGACCATGGCAAAGTCCCGGTGCGGGCCGTCTCCTGACAGTGTCCTCGCGGCTGCCAACCCTCGCTTTGGGTCGTATGATGACATGGCTGGCACTGCCGACCAGGCATTTAGAGTTGCCCGGCTTGAAGAGTGTTTGATGTGTTGTGCGAGCAATCTGTCAGATGGACTTCGAAACCACCATCTTGACCCGATTTGACATGATGTTCCTTGTCAAGGACCCTTAGCAGTCTTCGAAAAGCCCAAGCTTGGTCGTATCTTGTCAACATGCGACAAAAGCGGTTTGCTTTTGCGATGAGATGCCTCTGCAGGATGTCAGGGATGAAGAGAAAGATTACGCCCTCGCAATGCACCTTATCGGTCTTCACAACGAAGGCAAGCAGGAGGACCTGAAGCACGGTGACGGGGCCGTTTCATGACCTGTGCGTTTTGCGTCCCGATCAGGAGAGCAAGTCGCCCTTTTCCGTGCAAGAACTCAGGAAGTGCGCTTGTTAGGGCCGATAGGGCACGAGTGAAGGTCGCATGTCATGCGAAAAGTTGCGACTTACTCACCCCTGGCAGAGGTACATCGCGTACTGCCGCAGCAAGTGCAGCCCTCGGCTGAAGCCCGAGGCCAAAGAGGCCTGGCAATGTGAGCTCAAAGAAGACTCTGCTCAAGAGAAAGCATTTTCTGTAGCAACATAATTTCATTTTTTCAGTGTTTTGCAGGTCTTGATCAACCATTACCTCACCATTCGCAAGGCCATGAAGACTGACCAACAGGCTCTCGCAGTGCTGCAGTCGTATTGTTCTCTGCCCATGGTTGTGTACCTAGCAAATACATGACACTTTATGCTTTTGCATGCTAGTCCCAAGAAGAGAATAAATTTGGAAGATCATCCAAGGAGCGTCTTGGAGCATGTAAAGGTGCAAGTCTCCGCTCAGATGTCGATGCTGGGTTGTTTTTTTTTGTCGTTATTCGGACACAAAGTCTATATGTCTACGCTTCCTGGTTGGTGTTCATGGGCGTGTGATGGCAGCGATGGCAGCCTTTTCTTCACATGGCCACGAAGCCTCACTATTTGCAGCCCGCGTCACAACTTCGTTGTCTTCCGCCTCTCGCAGCTCGCGGCGGTGGTTCTGTTGCCTATGTTAGTCGGCAATGGTGGGCCAGGACATCGAGGGATTGGCGTCGCAACCACTGTCTCGCTTCTTGTCACGTCCTCACTATGGCCTGCTTCGTTTCTCTACAGCACTTCAGAGGGCACCGTCCATCGACCCCGCATCTATGATGCAGTCTCCCCAGTCACGCATAGTACGTGTGACTGAACTGCAGGATTCTCTGGAACATTTTCTGCACGGATGCCTCCCGTGCTGTGGCTTTCCGGGCGGCGTGTTTATCTGATGCGATGTTCTTGCGCATCACTTCTGATTTTATGTGTTGCGCATCACGTCTGACCTGATGTACGTACGGTCAGTGGTGGGGCTTGGATCTGCATGTTCGCCTTGGCGGTGTGAGCCGGTGCTGGGTGGGGTGCTCTTGAATGTTCTCGCATCTACAAACTCTCCCCTGCACCACCCGCTGAGGACTGCACACTGGATCACACCGCAGCAGGGGGGGCGTCAGAACTACCGACTCGCCAGAACAAGAGGGAACAAGCAACAACTGAGGTACCGATGCGCTGTCAACTTGCAAGTATTTGCGATACCAGCTCGCATCAACACGGCTTTTGGGCTTCACAAAAACACAAGGCTTTCAAGGCGAGAAAGCATCATGATGTACCCTCATCAGTTGGGGCTGGCCCGCAGGAGATGGGTGAGGAGGGGGCGAAAGGCTGAATGGGGCTTGTAATTCCAGACAACAGCCAGCAAAGGCTTCGTGAACATGGCAGTCGGCCCGTTTCAGCCATCCAACCAACTTATAGGCGACGGTACCCATCACCGTCAGGCACGTGCTGTTGTTGCACATGCTCGAAAGTCAGATGTGTCCGTTCTACTGGACCAGTTGTGCTTTTGCCTGCACGGCTGACAGGCAGCTAGAAGCAATTGTGCGAATTTCAGAGAGCTTCCTGCCAGCAAACATCGGGGATTGCTTTGTAGGCTCTGTGGTGTGAGCCAGTGACCACCAATAAACAAAGTCTGCGCCTTCTGAGGCCTTGCAAAGATGGAGTTGAATGAGGACCCAATGAGACAGGGGCAGATGATGCTCAGTAGTTCTCTTTGTGGAATCCAAGCTCATTGAAAGCGGTCGACAAGTTAGTGTTTGGGTCTTGGTAGGGTACAGGGCCAGTGCACGACGGTCAGACATCAATAGAACGGAGTATGTGCGTCCTGCGCAATTTGAAGCTCTTGCTGGGTTTGCCGCATTGAGGATGCTGACATTGGCCACGTGGAAGAGGCGCTCCGCATGTTCACCGTCCATCTGGCCTGTTGACATGCTTTTGAGTTGTTTGGCTGGGCATATCTGGGGCTGCTTTGGAATGGGATCTGTGGAGTCTTGTGCTGAGTCTCAGCCAGGTGTCCACTCTGGATTCGGCGAATAGAGACCGGGTCCAGGCGGCAGGTTGAAGGCTGAGTTTTACAGCCGGATGAAGGCCCAAATATGAGTGGCTCTATGTGGCTCTATGCGGCACTAGCCGAGGTCTTGACGCTATGAGCGAAGAAGACAAGAAGGATTGGCTCATAGTGCATGTGCTGCATGTCCGCTTGGAGCTTTGTGTCAAGCTCGACCTTGCGAGTCTTCTAAGGTGTGTGTGTGTGTGTGTGTTGTTTTTCGTTTCTCCGAGTTCTATGTGTGGCTGCGAGATGCTGCGTGTGAGCGCCATCTTAGCACACCATGGCGGAAGGAGGGCTGGGAGGGTCCTGGTCACCGACCTGCGCACACCTGCAAGAGCCTGCAAGTGCAGGGTATGCTCCTGGAAAGCTCCGTTCGGGGCATCTGCACTGATCAACACAAAACCAGTTACCATGGTTTTCACCTCCCATGCCTGCCGTGCGTTTTCCGGGAGTGTGCACGTGCGTGTGTGTTTTCTGGCTTCTCCCGTACACCAAAGTCAGTGGGTAAGCAAGCGAACATCTTGCCCAGTGACCAGCGAGCCAGCAAGCCGACAGGCAAGCAACCAAGAGTCTCCCTGGCCAAGCCCACCCTAAACCAGAAAGGAAGCAGGTTTCAGAGGTGCCTGGTTCGGAGCACTTTTTGAGCCTTGTTGGCTAAAGTTGCTCAGGGCGACACTGACTCGTTCCACCAATCAACTCCTTCCGCTTCTCTGACACTCGACTGTTCAGAAGTTTTTTGAACACGCGTCATGAGCACAGGCCTTGCAGGACGCCGAAGAGGCTGGATGCTTAATCTGTGTTGTTGTGTTGCTACCGATTCGGTTGTGCAGCTGTGCACTTGCTTTACTCACAAACTCACAACATGTGCTTGCGAACCACTTGCAAGGTCATTCGTCGAATCATCCCTCTTCATGGCAGCAGCCTCAGCTCATCAGCGGACCTGCGGGCTCAAGGCCATATTAGGGCTCTCCTATGATTTAAGGGTCTATATAGGGGATCCCGAAAGCATCAACCATTAGGGTTTAAGGGTTTTGGGTTTAGGGTTTTTAGTTTAAGGGTTTAAGGGTCAAGGGTTTAAGGGTCTGGGGATTCGGGATTGAGGATTACCACATAGATGGGTCGGTTTGCTGACGGCCCAGCTCGGCTCGCAGATGCTCAATTTTTGAGCCTTTGGCAGCCCCTAGTCCAACGGAGTCCGACGCTTCTTTGGAGTAGAGAGACCCCCGCATCCATGGGTGCGTGCGCTTCAGTTGTAGATTCCGAAGCCCACGCTTTCCTTGATCATGCGAAAGCTGGCAGGTTCGAAAACGCTTTGGAGATGCTTATTGACGACCCAAGTCTTCTTAACCGGCAGCCATCGAAACGATGGTCGGCTTTACACCAAGCAGCTCTCCTGTTGAAGCCTGGCAATGGAGCTGCAGAGCTTATCGAAGAGATCGCACATGTGGCAGGAGTGGGTCCTTTCTTTCAAAAGAATCCGGATGGTGACAGACCCTTGCAGGTGGCCATGAAGCACAATCCTGCTGCGGTGCTTTTGCTCCAAGCATTTGAGCACGGTGTACGCATTTGCCCTTATGGCGCAGAGTGCCAAGTGTTTGCTCTTTTGCGAGCAGGGGCTGCAGACGAGAGGGCCTTACGTCACAGCGAGCACTTCTCTCACCCATGCAAACTTTGCCCGGCAGGGGCACAGTGCTCTGAGTTTCAGTTGCTCCAGGATCAAGGTGCAGCAGCAGGACTCAGAGTCCGCTGCCACTGCGCTGCTTTCATCCATGCACGGCCGGACCGTGTTGGTGGAGCAATGACAGGTGCAGAAGCTTCAGCAATGGTCACCCCATCTGGCAAAGAAGCGTCCAAGGTGAAGCCAGGTTCTTCAGTTCGCAGGTTTTGGAGGTCGAAAGCTGCTGATTTCGGGATGCTAGCTGAGGAGATCCTCCGGCGCCTAAGCTTGATATAGCTGCTTTTTCTGCTGCTGCGTGCGCTCGCTCATGCTATTCTGTTGCTATGCTGCCATTGGTGCTGCTATTCGTGCGTCTACTATTGCTGCCACTACTGCAGCCATTACTGCTCTGATGACTGCTGGTATAATTATGTAACTAATGTCAAATAAAGTACAAATGTTGCCGGCGTAGACCCCAAACAGCGACCACGCCAAGATGACGTTGAGAGCACTTCAAGTGTCCGCCAGTGAGAACCACATGTCATGAACCCTGAAGAAGACCCCGTCCCGGCACGCGCGCGACATCGACCCAAACCGTGAAGACAACATCTGGAAGCCCCATCTAGCAGCGACCCGAAACACCGCTGAACCGGAGGACAAGCTAATCCCTCTTACTCTGCACGTTGGAACCGTGTTGACACGCTGGGTAATTCATAGCAAAGCCCACCCCATCATCACAAAACCCACCAAGCTCTGAAACGGCCCGGCGCCTGCAACCACAACCCTTAACAGGGTTTAGGGCGGGCCCTTTCGAAGTTTTGACAAGCTTAGGCCAGCTGTTGAGACAGCCTGAAATTAAGAGCTTTGTGCCTGGAGCCAAATCGTTCAAGTAATAGGGTCCCAATGCCACCTCCAGAGCCTGAGAGCTGCTGAAACTACATTTTTTTTGTGAAATCAGGTCCAAGTACAGTCAAGAGCTTACCCTAAACCCTAAACCGTACTGACCCTAAACCAGCTGAACTCCCGGAAAAGGGCGCAAAGCAAAGGGTTTTCAGGGATCCGTTTTCTTGGCGGCGGCCGGCGGTTTTAATAAGTAGGGTGAGTTTATGAAATGGGGCCAAAGATTAGCAAACAGGCCAAAGACATCCCAACACAATGTATACATATATATATATATATATATATGTATATATACACATATACATATAGGTACATACATACACATGTACATGTACTTATATATGTATTTATATATGTATATATATATATGCATATGTATATGTGTGTATATGTATATTGTGAGCAGGTCTAAGCGCGCACGTTGCATGTGCCGAGCTGCCAGAACCAGTACTGTAGTTTTCTTTGCATGTGTAGTTTTGCAATTCGTTACAATGCCAATATTTTGGCTCAAGTACCGAGCTTGTGCCTTTCCGGACGCACTCAGGCGTAGCTGCACAAGTGCTTGAACTCGCGAAGTCGTAAAACAGCGTGACCGGGCTGTGATTGCATTGGCTTAGTGCAAGTCCAGTGCTGGTCGACTTCACAATTGGGGGCTGTTCTGGGAAACGTACAGCTCTTGTGCCTACGGCCCGAGTGGGCAAGCATTGCTTTGCTTGTCTGTCGCGGTCCGTGACCTGGACGCGTGGACTGTGTGCCACGCTTGCGGCCTGTTAACCAAGGCGCGGCGCTTCGCGTGCCACGCCTGCGGCCTGCTAACCAAGGCGCGGCTTTTCGCCTTGTGTTGCGGCAATGTCCGCAGAGGTTGCAGGTCAGGCTGAGGGCGTCACCCTCCTCGAAGCTATCGAGGGTGGAGACGTTCCCTATCCCGAGCGGATGAGCTACGTCGCTTGGCTTAAGTGGCGTAGGGAGACTGGCAGCCGTCCGTTGTCCAAGCGGGATGGGGTCAGCACTACGCCAGAGCAAGAGGCGGCTCTCTGGCGGAAAGTCATGAAGTTCCTCCATGACGCCGAAGACGAGGACGAGGATGAGGAGGAAGAAGAAGAGGACTCCGAGCTAGTCCCTGAGGCCTCGGGCGCTGGAGGCGACAGTCCGCCGCGGGTGGACGTCAGCGCCGCGGCTAGGGAGCTGGCCATGGTCCCTACCGGTGCTGCCTATGTCCCTGCTACGGCACCAGGGTCCCGCCCGGCGGGGCCGTCCGGTCCGCCGTCGACAGCAGGTTCGGTGCCAGGCACCGCAGAGGGCTTGCAGGCGGAGCTGCGCGCGATTTTCCGTCCAGACCAAGAACCGGTCGCGGACTACTTGACGCGCGTTTCGCGGATTGTCCTCGCGCTGAAAGCGCATGGAGTCACGGTGAGCTCCCGTGACCTTGACGCCTTAAGCACCAAAGCCACCCTCCTTGCGGATGAGTTCTCCAAGATAGGCGGGGACTGGCATCCGACAAAGATGGTCCGTCGGCTGCGGACCAGATTCTCGGTCGCGGCTTTGCGCGGTGGCGAGGACCCCGAAGACGCAGAGGAGATTCAGCGTGAAATCCAATGCATCGGGGAGCTTATCCTCGCGTTGGGGGAAAAGAAAGCTCGAGCCAAGAGAAGGTTTGGAGCTCCCCGTCCGATGTGCCAGTTGAAGCCGTGGGGCCGCGTTCCCCAGGGCTCCCACAGCCTGCGACTGCAAGTGGGTTGGGGGTAGGTTTGGACCGTGGAGGTTTGCACACTGCCGAGGTTGCAGGTGGTCCTTCCGCGGCCCGTGACCTGGGCGCGACGGACGGCGATTCCCCTTTGCGCGCAAAGCTTGCGGCGCTGGAGATGGAGATAGAAGCCCTGAAGCGAGGTTCAGACGGCGGAGGTTCGCAGACCGGGTCCCAAAACCCGGCGGGCGATTTCGCCGCCGCACTCGCCGCCCAAACTGAAGCGCTGAAAGAAGCGTTAGCGCAGAGGGGCGGGCAAAGCTCCATAACTACGGTCAAAACTGACCTCACGTGGCCGACGCTGACCGACGATAAGTCGGACGCGCGAGATGTTGTCTTGTTCTACGAGGAGTTCGAGGACGTCTGCGCGCTGGCCAACAACTGTCGCGGTATGAGTGCGCGCGAAAAGCTGCTAGCGCTACGCGGGCGCTGCCGCGGCTCGCGCATGAAGACGTACACGAACGCGTACCGCGCAGCGTGGAAGTCGGGAGAGGTTCTCTCCGACCCACAGGCGGTGTACGACCGCATCAAGAACAAGCACTTGATGTTCGGGGAATCGCGGGAGGAAAGAGAAGTCCGCGTGGATGGTGAGCATGCCTCCCTCGCTAAGGGTAAGCTCACAGGCCACCAATTCGAGCCTTTGTTTGAGGCATCGATCGCGGACCTTGAGGCGGTGGGTCTTGGGAAGACCCCACGAGAGTTGTATCTCTC